AGCGTAATGTTCGTTTTTTCCAGTTTTTTTTTAAGTTTGGCCAGAGCACAACTGCACCATGTTTGTAATAAGAAAAAAAGGTCAATTTTGTGTTCATGGTTTGCTTTTCTGAGCCAAACACATGTAAGGTGTCGGTGCGTGTGTATATGGGCACACATTTGTGCAAATTGTTACTGTTACTGAAATATAATTTGCCCTAGATGTTTAACTGTCAGTATGTTGCTTTGCACAGCATTGTTTTATTTTGTGTTGGATATACATTCTTGCCTCTGGTTTTTATTAATCAGAAAACAAAATAAGTATTGCACATTTTTGTTATTTACTTGAGCCTAATTTGGTTTATTTTTTTCAAACGATGCACACATTTGAAATACTGCTGTTTTCAGCTGAACCAAATGCCGATTGCTTAACCCACACTGGCCTTTTAAGAATAAAAAAAATGTGTGCCGTTAAGTTGAGATGGGGCAGTGTTGCAGTTTGGACAAGAGATGGCATCGTTTGCAGTTGTTTCCCAGCTCTAGAATTCAAAACCCAATTCGCTTGCCTTTTTGGCTCCTGTAACTTTTCACAAAAGCACAACATTACTTTTTACTTTGTTTAGATGTTTATTTTGTGCACTGTAAATTACACTCCTTGTGTATATATAAATATAAACTGTCATTTGTTAAAATGTGATGTGTATTACTTTATGCGTACGTTTGTGAAAGCACTGATTTTGCTAATTTGTGTTCACAAAAGGGCTTTTTTGCTACATATAAATGTATGCTCACTAGGTTTTACACTGCATAAATATATTGTTGGCTTTATTTTGACATCTGGACAATGTTGAGAATTGCGACCACAGGTGAAATTCTATGTACATTGATCAGTTAATTGCCCATTTGCCGGAACCTGAAATTTGTAACAAAAATAATCTTGTTTTTTGTATTGTGTTGTGTTGAAAGCTGTGAATGTTCAAATATATGGAACTCTTAAAAGGAAAAAAAGGATGTGATTGGGCTTATCAACATTGTATTTTGGAAGAGCCAGTCTTAAGCATTTGGGGCCTTGTGCAAAGTGTAATTTTGGAACTCCTAGTTCTGGCATTAAGGATTGGGAGATCTTGCACCTAAAGTTACTGTACATCTCTTAATATGTGGGTTGGTCATGGCTTATATGCTCACAATTTCATTAAATAGCCATTTCAAGCCTTGTTGGGGGCCTGGTGCTTTTACACACATTGCATGCCCCTTAATTCCGGCTCTTGTTCACATGTACATTTTTTATAGCTTGAAATGACGCATATCGCTCAACCGTTGCAATATATGCTGTTAACTGCTGTTTTACTCAAAAAAATGTTGGTGGATTTTTTTTCTCATTTTATGAGTGGGTTGTGTGGATTTAGTGTTGGACAAAATGTACCGAATAAGTCTTAAAATAAAATGGATTCGATTAATGCTGTTAAATCTCTCGGTTTAATTTTTTCTTCCTTTTATGTCCGAATTACCAATTTATTTTGTTTGGTGTTAATATTTAAATACATATGTATTTCATCATTACACCTATAACATTTGTTGACTTGTCAACAATACTTAAAGTCCGTTCTAATTCAAGATATTGCTGCAAAAACTTTGGGTCACCAAATTATGTCACCATCATGAACATTACAAAAATACCATTGTCCTGTCAGTCCACTGCTCAATGAAGGCATCTCCACATGTCCTTCCAACTTGACCACTGCTCCCCACAATAATGACCTGAATGAATTAAATTAGTGGAAATATCGCTCAATATTATTAAATATTTTATGTTTGCTTCAGTGTGCAAGAGCTTTGATAACCGTATCAATGTTTTCTGTCATGCCTTTTTATCGTGTTCTTTGATATTCAAGTCTTTCAAAATCTGATTGAAATGTGGCCAACAGCAGAGAACCGTTTCCGAAACAAGGTCATTTTAGACAAGTGGGATTTGGGGTTAGGACACGTTGCAAGAGAGGATATTGCCCGGTGGTCGAGGCTGACGATGGAATGGACAGCCAACGAAGGGGAACACAACTTAAGGGAACTTCCGCCACAGAAGGGCGCAATGAAATCGGCACGTGGGAACCGGCTAGATCAGCGGTCGGGAACCTATGGCTCGCGAGCCATACATGGCTCTTCCAGTGACGGCATATGGCTCCCAGACAATTTTGAGTTGAAAAAAAAATCAGTTTGGAACTGATTTTAAAATACTTGTGATATTACTTAATAATACTGTGTACCAGACTACAAGGCCATCAGCAAAACCATGCAGCACCAGAAGTCGCATTAAAAGTAAGACATTTAATTTATTATATGTTAAAAATACTATATGGCTCTCAATTAAATATATTTAGAAATATTTGGCTTTTATGGCTCTCCCAGTCAAAAAGGTTCCCGACCCCTGGGCTAGATCGTTGCATACCGAGACCATGAGAAATGACGATGGCTTGTGCAGGCATTCACTCAGCAATGGTAGATCATGGCTGATTTATGATCGCTTGATAACTCTTGAGGTGGATAATGATACTCATAAACTGGTGTGACTGGCAATGGGCCTCATTACCACGTGTATCAGGTGTACAGTGCACTGGCCACCAAAGCACCGGGACTTGTCATGTTGCATTATTGATGGATTCATATCACTCGTAAAATATTCAACAGGGTATGTATGGATTTGCTTTAAGCAAACACTTGCATGTTCACAGGGCACTATAGCACAATGCCCATGTCTTGTGCGACGCAGAAGAGTTTGCACATGCTTATGCATTTTGTTTCAGGTTTCTTTTTTTCTTTCTTTGGATGTTAAAACATTTTCAGGGCCTTCCTGGAAACGAATTTTGAAAACTCAGGCTTTCTTGCGTAGAGTATTTCATTATTAATGCGTGTGTGTGTGTGATTTCAGTGCAGTTTCGATTATTATGGGATTGGGAGGTAGCTTGTAACCGAAGTGCTTGGAGGCCAAGTTTTGTGGAAAGCCGGAGGAGTTGTTCGATCACACATCCACGGCACCGGGGTGATATCTGTCGGAAGCAGTACTGCCAAGTAGTTACAGGCATATCTTAGGGCGGATTTTGAGTTCCTGTATGCATTTCTTTCTAGATTTGAAGCTTTCGTGACTGCAAGGAATCATATTCTTAGGTTTTTTCGGTAAAGTCACGTAGGTAAAACATCAAAATTAATGAAAATAAAATAAAACAAAAAATCACGACGTTTTGGTTACTCTTTCTACTGTATGAAACAAAAAATTGGCATAACATTGCAATCAGACATTTTTTAGACTAAGTGGGGCATTTCATGGGTAAGTGATCTATTTCAGAATTTATGCATCTATCGATCCACCCTCGATAGATTGTCATGGTTTAAGAAAGCATTCTTTTTGCCGTCGTTTGACGAACGATGCAGTGGCAAAGATTACCGCCGCTGCAGATGTGGAACCATGAAATCATTTTTTTTATGGCTGGGAATTGATCAATTTACAATTAAATATCAATTTCTAAGGGAGTTATGCTCGGGGGGGGGGGGGGGGTTGGAGGGCGGGGAGGGTGGGAGGGGCGTGACGTCACCACGCACGAACCCGGACCGACGCACTGGGATGCGGGTGACGTCATCACGCAAATGTACGCGGTGACGTCACCACTGCCCACGTCCCCACCCGCACGCCAGCCAACCAGGAATGCAGCTCGAGATATTTTTTCTAGATTTGAAGCTTTCGTGACTGCAAGGATTCATATTCTTAGGTTTTTTCGGTAAAGTCACGTAGGTAAAAACATCAAAATTAATGAAAATAAAATAATAAATTTTGATTTTTTACCTACGTGACTTTACCGAAAAAACCTAAGAATATAGATATATTTTTATTGTTTCTAATACAGCGTGGACGAACGTGTTCGGTTTTTGTTTGTGCCACCACTGCTAATACAGCTATTTAAATATAAAATAAGATAAGCAGCATCACCACCACCAACAACAACTTGGGTGGTATTTTCAGATTCTCAATCTGGGTGTGATGACGTGTGAAGCCACGTGACGTCATTGCTGGTGCCGCGTGCTCAGGGTGACGTCACGTTCGGGAAAATAATTCACGATGTAACACGATTTTTATTCCTGGGTACTAAGTGTTTTTTTTATAATTGCTTATGCCTCAAAAGTATAGAAAATTGTTATTCCCCACAAACTTTGCTTTTGTGACCAGGACTTTACGTGAAGGAATGACACAAATGCACACGTTTTCTCATTGAAAATAGGTAAATTTCAAAATAACACTACCCAAATTGTTACAGTGTAATGCATCGTTTATTCACACTCAAGTGAGCCAGAGCAGGCGACACGCCGCGGCTGCATATGTTATTTAAGAAATACATTATTTAAAAATATATAGGAGAAAGATGGTAAGGGCTACAACACATTTCGAAAGGGGGGTCATATATTGCCGTTCTAAATAATAAAGCGCAAACATCAACGGGTGTAGCCACAATCAAGAAATTGAGATTGATCATCAAAATAAAGCATACGAACTATAAAGTTACACAAATGACGCTCGCGCCTGCAACAAGAACACAAAAAAACGTCACGCGCCTGCGACAATACACACACAAAATGACGTCACGCGCCTGCAACAACGCACACACAAAATGACGTCACGCGCCCACAACAATAACACACAAAAAAGCGACGTCACGCGCCTGCAACAATAACACACACAAAACAACGTCACGCGCCCGCAACAATAACACACATAAAATGATGTCACGCGCCCGCAACAATAACACACACAAAAAAACGACGTCACGCGCCCGCAACAATAACACACACACAAAATCGACGTCACGCGCCCGCAGCAATAACGCACACACACAAAAAATGACGTCACGCGCCCGCAAACAAAGCACACACACAAACAACAACGGATGACGTCACGGCGCGCCTGTGAAATGACGTCACGGAGCCGGGTTCCGCGGCGTCGCGCGCGCGCGAGCAGGGCGGCCCCCCCCCCCTCATCCCCCGCCATGTTGACAGAATCGCGGCCGCGAGCGGAGGAGCGGCTCCTCCTGCTGCAGAATTAACTCCGCGAGCCTCGTCGAATAAGCAAAAAAATAACACGACAACAAATAAAATATAAAGATTAAAAGCCATTTGGAATTTGCAAGGGGAATTAAACGAGCGGCGGCAACAGCGGCGGCGGCAGCAGCGGCGGCGGCGGCGGGACGACGAATCTTGCGTGAGTGTCGCTAATGATTCACCCGCTATTCGCTATTAATCATTTACTTAATGACACGACGACGATTCAGACATCCTTGCCCCCCACTAACCTCACCCGTCTTGTGTTCTAAGTGATGTGTTTTGATCGGTTTTTAGTCGTCCGGGGACCATCGTGATATTTCTCTCCTCACGCCCGCTTTATTGTGATCATTAAATGTGACTAATAATTTTTTTTATATTGTATCTTTACATTCCACACGGAGTACGTTTGGTTGTTGTGTGATTAAATTAAACTGTGACTTAATATACAGTATTTGTGTTTTAATGTTTGAATCGCTCCATCACCCCCGTCTAACGGGTAACCCACTGGTGGTGGGGGGGGGGCAGCACTTCATCCTACTTGCTGCACTGCCCCCCCCCCACAAAGACAAAGATCCCCCGTGTAGCCTTAACAGACTGTAGGGGCAAGTGCTGTCAGCGAGCACCTATGAAGGCCGGTACGGCACACGAGGCGGTGGGTGGCCAGCACCACGCCCGACCGCCTTTGTCTCCCCTGTGGCGATGTTTACAACACCGCACCGGGTACTAATTTGAGGCCGAGTCGACCTAGCGGAGGCCCAGGACCGGTTCAAATAATCGTCAACTGGTTGTTGGCCGTGAGCGGGAATCGAACTCGGGTCGCCGGGTTTGTTGGTCAGCATAGCGCTAACCGCTGCACCACCGCTCCCCCCAAAAAAACATTTTAAGCCAACATGTCATACACTTCCCACAGGACCTCAAATAACTATGCCACATAGTATGTGCCCCCCCCCACTGCCATCTTTGCTGTCGAGGCCCCCCACTCTGGACACGTGTTCCCTCTTTAACTCAAGAGGTCATTTACTACTGCTGCAGCCCCCCCCCACCCACCCACATATTTTTTCCACAAGACTTTTGCCCTCTTGTTTTAAGCGCGTAAACATATCGTATGTCCTTTAGCCTCTCATTGCACCATCCCGCAATGCTTGTGCTGCTCCCCTTAAAGCCAAAAAGCCACGTGCTTCCGATCTTCCCATACCATTGCCTAGCCTTTAAGCCAGCAGGTCATACATATATCCTGCAAGCCCCTATCCCCTTATTTACTTATCTCATTGGACCCAACACCCCCTATTTATTCATTCTACAGGACTCTCGCTCTGACCAATTGGAAACATCCCCTCCCACATCCCCTGACCTCTCCTGATGACATCTCCCTAACTGGATGGGTGACCTTAACTCACCCAGCTCCTCCCTCCCGGCCATTCTCACACACCAGATGGATGCACCCCCCCCCCCCCCCCACACATAAACTACATTTTCAGAATCTGAATCTTTATTTTAGACGAGAGGAATCCGATGAGCTATGAAGCTTGTTTTTACAGATGTCTCTGTGTACATCACAACCCCCAACTGGAGCATACTTATCACCAACATAAATGCCACCCCCCAAAATATCTTATCTCCTGAATTACCTCTCCCACGTACAGTATTTATTTGACCCATGCAATGTCCCTTCCCTCGCCTGCGCCCACACACTGGACATTGTGTCTTAACTCCCGGACCTAACACGTGCCTCTTGCCCCCCATCATCTACAGTATTTTCACTTTGGGGATAATTTACACCCCCACCCCACTGCTGTACACTGTGTCCTCTATCCCTGATCACTGGCGTACTTGAATTGGCACTATAGACCTGTTTTCGAATATGTGCAATAGCAGCGCGCAATAACCCCCTTGAATTTAAGTGCTGCTGACAGTAGATATTTGCCACTCGGAGCAGGGACATTGCTGTTTTGACTCAGCAGCAACACCGTCTGCCGATTCCACTTGCGAGTGAGTCAACAAAGCATTTATTTGTCGAGTTTACGTCATGTCTCTTTACAAAGGTCATTGTGTTAAACTGAACCACTCGTCCGGTTTGTCGGCTGCTTCTGCCTCCCTTGTTTGTTTTAATATTTCCAGGCTGAGAACATGATGCCTTCTCGTTATCAAATACAATGTCAAATATCCTGCAGTAACGTATGTGCAGTCGTATGTAAGGTGAATTTTTTCTGCTCAACTTGATATAATGAGAGATCAAGAAATGCGCATTTCATGCGTTGCCTGCAGTATTCCATGTTCAGAGCTATGTAAAGTGCATGGGCAGGATCATATCTTCCACAAATCCACGTAAAAAGAATATGAATATACTAAATACATAAGCGCTACCCTGAAAGAAAATAGTACGATGTAACGTCTATAAATATATTTTAAGAGCCCATAGTTGCAGTAAAAATGTTGTTTACGTTTGTGTACACTATTTTCACGTCTTCATTAGTAACATGCCATTTTTGTGCCTTGATGTTAATTAGATGCTTTGGGGTTGCTAATTTGTGTCCAATAATTGCTAGGCTGTTGTCTGTGCCGGTTTACGAACGTGTCATTATGCTCGTGCGCTGTACAACTGCATGACCGTCTGCCCTTCACAGGCCTCAAGACTCTGATGTGGCTCGCTGGCCATGGCTTACTAAGAGCACGCTTCATTGCCTTTTCCAGTGTCTTCAAGCATGTCAATTATGATTCTGAGAGGTGCACAAAAAATAGGTCATTGATCTGAATATGTATTGAAGGTCGTCACCACACGAGTGGTTCTTACTGTAACAAGAAATAGTGCTCGGACACCCACAGACTTGCATTGCTCTATGGGCATCACAGCTTCATACGCGCCTTTTACTTGATAAGTTCGTTGTTTTTATTCATGGTAAACACAGATCTAATGCATTTTCACACGAGTCTAAGATTAATGTTAAAATTTCATACATTCGACCACTACATTTTGTTGTGACAGAGTAATTTTCTAAGAAGCTTTGCTTTTTATATTTTACATTCATCCCCTTTTAATCCTCATTGTGCTATAGGCATGACATGAGACAATAATTTCATTCGAATCTCTCAGAGCAGTGCGATCCTTCGTGTTCGAGAACAGCCCATAGAAGCAGATGCCACAGAACTATCGCTTGAGATGCCCAGGAAGCTGTGCTGTTTTGTTCCTTCTGTAATCAACTCAAACGCGATGGAAAGCACGTGTTATCTATTTTGTTCTAGATTTGAAGCTTTCGTGACTGCAAGGATTCATACTCTTAGTTCTTTCGGTAAAGTCACGTAGGTAAAAATTTAAAGTAATAAAAATAAAAATCACGACGTTTCGGAGGCAACACAAGCTTCCGTCTTCAGGTGAAACCGTCACAGCAAAATATCTGTATCTATTTTGTGACATGCGACATTCCCCTCCTCCGTGCTTGTTCACCAGGTGCGGCTAGCAGGTGGCCATGTCTTCCATGGCGTGCCCCAAGTCGGATGCCCCAGAGCGCCTGTCGCAGGAGGAGATCCTGTCGAACACGCGCGTCGTGATGCAGGGGCTGGAGGCACTGCGCAATGAGCACCACTCGATCCTGGAGTCGCTCATCACCACGCTCAGCTGCCTCAACCGCGCCGACGAGGGCAGCCTGGTCAGCGAGAAGACCGGCATCATTCAGCACTCGCTCGACTCCATAGAGCTGGGCCTCAGCGAAGCTCAGGTGAGTCTCAGAACGGGACCGGGGAGGTGGTTACATTTGACTAGCTGAAGCTGGCACGGATAAGATGCAGAATTACCGGCATGATGTGTGTTTTTTTTAGTAGCTGAGATCGATGCGGTTACAGTTTTCCAGTGTGAGGGCAAGTGGATAGTGTTTTCGTAAAAGAACCACACTGGCATGTTTTCTTTCCAGACAGAAATACAATTTCTGTTTTACAATAGAGATCAAAAAATGTATAATGGTCTTTTTTATACTCTTAGGTTTTTTCGGTAAAGTCACGTAGATACAGTAAATCTAGCTGTGACGGTCCCACCTGATGACGGAGACTTGTGTTGCCTCCGAAACGTCGTGATTTATTATTTTATTTCTATTATTACTTTTATTAATTTTAATTTTATTTTTTACCTACGTGACCTTACCGAAAAAATCTAATAGTATGAATCCTTGCAGTCACGAAAGCTTCAAATCTGGTCTTTTTTATGTTTCAAGGTAGTTCCAGGTTTGCATGGCATTAATTTTGTTGTGGCTGTGATGGCAGTGCGCACAGTTGCCTGCTCTTGAATGATGTCATAGGATCTTTAATGTCCCTGTTGGAGTAGACCGTTCACTTTGGTAACGCCCTTAAGCATCGTTGGATAGGAGTGGAAATTGCCAATGACGAGAAAAAAACAACTTGGCATCAGTGTTGGGGGCATGAATCATGACCAGACGAACCATTTCCATCGCCTTCTGTATAATCGCTCTTGACATTGCCACATGTCAAGGTGGTTATGTTTTCACCGATGTCTGACAGCCTTGCTGTCATTGTCAAAAGATATCCCACCTTTTAATCAGTGGGATAATGACCCATCATCATGCAATTTCTGTGTAGATGTAAAAAATAAGGCAATAAAAACTCCTGTTTGAATATTGGTGTAATTTTTCAGCAAATTTGTCTTGGCACCATTTTTGTCATTCTTCTGCTCCTAGTTGTTTGGGTATAATTCTATTGTTTGTATAAATGCATTGTGCATCTTTGATGTGCATGTATCTGGCTTTGCTTCTGCGTTTAAATAGCCATGCCAAAGAGCCTTGCTTAAGCTTTTGTTTGCATGGATACAGAGGGAGTGTGTTGCTAGGTGTGAGATCACCATAGTGATAACTGACTAGGCTGCAGTACAGTAAAGCCCTATCTCGAAAATAAATTGCTCACAACGACATTTTCTTTTCACTGCCATTCTCGTTTAGATACTGCACATGCATTTATCGTTTGAATGAATAAACCATCCACCAAGTTGGTATAGCTATGATTTTTATAATGAAAATATATTTATGGATATTATACATAAGCATTGGTTTTCTAATCTAATGTTATAAAAAAACACAATTGTATCATTGTACAATTGTAGGGAGCCTATTGTATGATTTTTACAAGTATTTAGGTATGACCACACCGTGGTAGCACTAGACGTTTTCATGAAAAGTCTTGTTTTCCTTTTAATGCAGACAATTACAATTTATCTCGGTAAGTTTAAACTTCAAAGAAATTGCCACATGCTTGATATGAAGACTAGTTGAACAAAAATAATGATGCGTATCCCTGGCAACGTGATTGAAAGCTTTAATTATTTACATAATATGTTCCCGATTTTCAGATTCATAAAAAAAATTCGGGCCTAGATAAATAATTTCGGATGCTCCAAAAATGGGTTTGTTTTGACTGATTCAGGAAGTTAATTTTGTATCTATTAATTCACAGGAGGTAATATTTTCCACGTATTTAACAGGAATTGGTGTGAGGTACACCCTTTTCTTGCCACAAGTGATGACACTTGGCATTGGATTACATTACTTTGTAATGTAAATGCTCCGAAAATCCTGAAAAACATCTGACAATTTCCTTAAGCCAGAAAATATGAAAGTGTTGAAATATTAAACCCCATCCCTCATTAAAATTATGTATCACTCACATTTGCATCTTTACAGTGGAGTAAGTTTGAAAGTGCAGAGAAAATGGTTCTAAAACAATTTTCCCTAATCCCTAAGGGGGAAAAAATGGATGGAATGCCTGCCCTACTTTAGACGGACATCCAACCGCAAACACTTTGACAGGCTTGCTGTCAAATCCGATAATGTTTTCACTTGTGAATCATTTTATTCTTCAGCTTCACTGCCGTATGAAGGTTCTGCATTTGCAAATTTTGCTTCATAAGTGGCCCCCTCTCAGAACACAATGCATGCCTTGTTGTCGCCATTGACATCTTCTTCAACTGGTCACAACTCCCGGCCGCATGACTTCCAGCATGCAGCACTTACGTCAGCAGGGACTCATGACACACAAAAGATGATTGCCCTTGTTTGAATTAAAATGTTTAGGTCTGAAAAAGCCCACGGAGTATGTTGGCAATTCCGGAATGCGTCTGCCCATACCATGTCCCCCCTCTGTACCCGCCGGCTGGCTCTCACCCCCTTGCGTGGCGTGGCGCAGGTGATAGTGGCGCTGGCGTCGCACCTGGGATCAGTGGAGGCGGAGAAGCAGAAGCTGCGCGCTCAGGTGCGGCGGCTGTGCCAGGAGAACGCGTGGCTGCGCGAGGAGCTGGCAACGGCGCAGCAGCGGCTGCAGCGCAGCGAGCAGAGCGTGGCGCAGCTTGAGGAGGAGAACCGGCACCTGCAGTTCATGGGGCAACTGCGCAAGTACGACGACGAGGCCTCGCCCCCCGTGAGTTTCCTTCCGCTGCAGTGTTTTATTTCGTCAGATTTTTTTTGCATTTAAGTCATCGTTATAGTTCATTTCGTTTTGCCAAATTAGCCCAATTGTAATATTAGAATATCATAAGTTAAATTATAGTTCTCGCACTCGTAAGAATCGATTTTCAGCGGTACGTTGTTATGAGACTGCCGTTTAACTTGAGCTCGTAGAAAACAACCATAACAAAAGCACCAAAATCTATGGCACTGTTGTGTGAATTTTTTTGTCCTGAAACATACCGCTGCCGCTAATTGGAATTGGTTTCATGGCTCATAAGCACAGTAATGCGAAATCTAATTGACACGGCACAACCATGTCTGGGAGAAAAGTGGAAAGATAGATTTGGGTGGGTGGCTGGGGTGAGGGCTACCTCTTTGTTTTAGCGCAATTTTTCAGAGCAGCAGTATTTAGCACTTTCGTACCATTTTTTTGTATAACCTTTTGTATAGGCATGTTTAATACATCGATATTGAACAACAACTTTGGCCGTGCCAAAGGCAATCTCAGAGGCAAAGGCTGCATTGATTGTGTTTAATTTGGCAGTAAGACATGGGAGGTCACAAGTTGGCACTGCATTGTTGTTGCCTAGGTGCGTAGTGTTAATTGCTATTTTTTTGTTGGGCCTGAAGGTTAACTTTTGTACAAGTCTCTAAATGTCGTGATATAAAAGCTTTGTTTGAAGACATTCTATGTTGTTACTAGATTCAAAGGTTTCGTGACTGCAGGAATTACTCTTTGGTTCTTTCGGTAAAGTCACGTATAAATAAATTAAATAATAGAATACGACGTTTCGATTGCAACACAAGCAATCGTCATCAGGTACAAATGAATGAGAAAACAAACCTAGTAAACTTAGAAATATAATGCAATACAACACAGAGAGTCGGCTAACATAAGTCCACACCCTACCCGGTTGATTCCGTTCTTCCAGGTTGGGTGTTGACATTTTAATTGCCCGTGTTGCTCGTTACGATGTTTCAGATCAATTTAAACGCAAAACATGCAAGATTAAATACACCTGAAGTCTAATTTTGTATTTTTTAAATTTCTCCTATCTGAACTGTTTGATGTGACTGCTCCTCTTTGAAAATGGATTACCAGCGAGTGAATTGTATAATTGGAGTGTGTGGGTATACAGTTTAGGTCCACGGGGGTTCACAACTGATTGATCTTTACAGGAGGAGAAGGATGGAGAGTCCTCCAAGGAGCCCCTTGATGACCTGTTCCCAAACGATGAGGATGAGCAAAGCTCCAGCAGTGAGTGTTGGCGCGTCCTTGCACACACAGGATGCTCTCAACCGCAGCCGGTCGAAGTCTCTCATCTTGCCTTTTTAAGCTCTCATTTATTTTAGAAATATCAGACAGATCTTTTGGTTGTTTGAAGTTGGTTTGTTGTGTGAACATTTTTTTATTATTATTGAAAATGTGTCTTCCTAAAATTGACTTCCATGTTAATGATCTGCTTTCAAGTTTTCTCTTTGCTATATCCCTTGTAGTTTATATAATGACTACACGGTACAGTGTATGATGTGGAAGTCACAGCAAGTGGAAGCCTTCTGCCTTCTCGAAATTGTAAATAACTCGTATCACACTACAGTCTTTCTTGCAGTGCAAGTAGCCTTTTAGGTTAAGTGCTTTGTGCTGCAACTTTTATACTATTATTTGGGCATTGCTGACCACGGAAAAAATGTGCAAATAACAAGCTGTTATTGTGGCTTATACGCCACGTTTCTTTTAAATTTATCCCAGTGTTCTAACATTCCAGCTTCACATGCTTACATTTTTGTTAAGATCTCTCTTGGCAGTTTTAACTGTTCACAGACGTAACCGTTTACAGCCGGTAACAGCTATGCTAGGCAGCGGCCTTGGAATGTGCCAAGTGTAACACGTGAATCTAAAGTGTCACATTGTGTTTATCACGCTCTTTTGTTTCCCTTCTGTTGTTGAGCGTGAGACTCGCGAGGGCTCTGCTCCTCTTCCTTACGGGGTGTACAATAAATCACCCAATGTCGCCGAGGGATTGCAGTCTCTCCCATTCCAGACAACTTCGCCATTATTTGTGCTGCCCTCTATTGTAGGCAGCATAAAATCGCTATTGTATGTGTGCACCTGATGTGTGAGCATTTGTGCTGTTGCCACTTGTCGTTTGAACTGTGTGGCCAGGTGTGTGTGTGTGTGTCTCTATGCTCCATTGTTATCAGTGGTATTTGGTTTTGTTTCTTAGTCTATATTGTATACTTGTTTAGTTTCATATTTGTATGGTAGTTCTTCGTGTTATATTGCAGTATTTTGTGTGTTTTATATCACGTTACATTTGGCTGTTTTGTACAGAGACGGGTAATGTTTTGCCGGACTAGGATCCCAGGGAAAAACGTTTGCAGGGATGCCTTGAGCTCTACTACTTAGGAATAGGTAGGTTCTCCTGTTAGGAATATCAATGTTACATCAATCAAATTAAGTGAAGACCCAGCAGCTTATGGCCAGCACATGTATTGCTTCACCAATGGTACTACGGAATGTCCAAGTGAAATAGCATAGGTTTCTATCTAAAATCTTACTTGGTCATCTGCAATGTGTGCATTAAATAATGTCCGAAGCAAAGCTGAATAGCTTGGCAATGAATAAGTAATAAGGTTGAACAATTGCATGCAACCGGAATGCCAATGTATTTAGTATGTTAAGTCGATGCAAGACCTTTTTCGTATTTCCTTGAAATCACCTTTTTGGATATTTTATTTGCTCCATAGCCATTTCAGAAGGCGTTAATTTAAATGCATGTTTCCATTTTCCCCACAGTACTTTGAATCATTATTTGATGCACAGTTTCCTAAAATGTAAAATGGCTTGCCAAACAGCTAAAATGGTTCATTCCAATTACACGTTCATCCATTGTATCTTGACAATTTACTCACCCGCCAGCAACTAGCCAATATAAATAGCACATTTATTCAACTAGATTTTATATATATTTCCCGCATTTGTCCTCCCGCAGAAGTGATCCTCACATCATGAAGATGTAGAGCCTTTAATTTGGCACATTCCATTAAAGCAAGGGTGGGGAAAATACAACTGATCGGCCTTGTGTGACCTGTGACTTCATTTCATTCAGCATGCCACTTGAATTCAGCTTCCAATCAGGATTTATCTTATCCAATGCAAGCATCTGAGCTACACCATTCGGGTACGAGAGGGGGAATATTTTCTACCTAGCAACAGTGCTTCTAATTTTAGCGCACTTAGCTACTTTTGTCAATACAAGGGCCTCTTTCCTTGACAGAAGTGACTATAGTGTATTTTATTGTTGTTGTTTTTATCCTGCAATATTCCACTGCTGGGCAAAGGTCTCCATGTTTCTCATCTTTTCCTTAGTTGTTCTGGAGTATCTAGCAGTGACCTCCAAACTCTTTTATGGTTTCATCTCGCCATCAATGCATCCGTCTTCCCCCATGCCTTCTATTGGTATCTGTCGTAAATTTTGTCCAGCTGTCTGTTTTGTTACGTGACCTGCGACATGTAAATTCCATCTCTCTGTGAAGGCAAAGCTTCCACCACCCCAAAATGAAAGGGTGACAGAAAGAGGCAAAAAAGCAATCCATCCGGCACTGCCCACCAGTGACACGTGCATCCCCCGGTTTCTGTGCTTCCACCACAGTGACCCAGTCTCGAGGCATATCGGGCGCGGCGGCGGCGCAGCAGGGCGGCTACGAGATCCCCGCGCGGCTGCGCACGCTGCACAACCTGGTGATCCAGTACGCGTCGCAGGGCCGCTACGAGGTGGCCGTGCCGCTCTGCAAGCAGGCGCTCGAGGACCTGGAGAAGACGAGCGGCCACGACCACCCGGACGTGGCCACCATGCTCAACATCCTGGCGCTCGTCTACAGGTGGCTGTGCTGTGTCCTCGGCACTTATTTTAATAATAATTCAATTTATAACGCGCGCAAATTTGCGGACGTAACGGCCGCAACTCAGAGGCGCGGAGCCAAGCTCATTTTATTTTCTTATTTTCCGTGCGGTGTGGCTTAGATGCTCGATCATGTGCAGTGCTTGCCATATTCATACTTTAAAATAGATTTTTCTGGGTTTTTCCAGTAACATTGAGCACAAAGTCAGTATGCACAGATAAGCACTCGGCAACACATTTAAAATGTGTTTTGACAACGCAAAAAATGCACCGGTTAGACTTAAAGTTAACTAACGTGTGGATTCAGGGTGGCCAGTGATCATGAAAAATTAATGATAGCTGTGGGATATAATGTATCCGAGTAGATTTCAAGTGAAGATTTGGAGCAAACAATATCTACAACCCTGCAGGTGCATTATTACATTTCAGGATTATGAGCGATGGCTTGAGGTATTCTTCTAGCAATGGATTGCCCATGGCTAATGATTGTGATGACGGTGAGTTTATCTTTTTCTCTGTCAATTGTGTGTCCATTTGTATAGGGATCAGAACAAATACAAGGAGGCAGGGAACCTCCTCAACGATGCCCTAGCCATCCGAGAGAAAACCCTGGGCAGAGATCATCCAGCCGTGAGTTGCTTCGTGCTACAACAGTCACACGATTACTCGAGGGGCATGCACAACACGGAGCAAGATCACAGCTAAAGAATCTTATCTACCCTCTTAAAAAAAGTCAAGACATTGCTTGATAAGAAAGGCGTTTAATTGAGGGGCATGGTAATTGAATTGGTATTTTTTATTCAACAATATTTTACATGATGTCTGACCAGCTGGCGGCAGTGGTCAGAGCCCCGTGTCTCACCGATCAAAGGGCAGAGTTCAAAATCCGGTACGGGCCTTTTGTGCCTCCTGAGCCTCGGTAAAATGAGCACCACTTCGATACGCATCAAGAGTGGTTGTCCTGTGGATAGTGACCCCCGTCATAGAAATTTTGAATTACCACCACTGTATCAGGGCTGTTAAATGGAGATCAGAATCAGAATGTATTTTCCTGGTGGAATCCGATGAGTTATCAAGCTCTTGTTCACAGATGTCCAGTAGAGATGAACGCAATGCCATGCTTGGGTGGAATTTTGCCTCACTTGATGCAGTAATTTTAGCTGTGACAGTCCCACCTGATGACGGAGACTTGTGTTGTCTCCGAAACGTCGTGATTTATTATGTTATTTCTATTATTACTTTTAGTATTTTTATTTTTTACCTACGTGACTTTACCGAAATAACCTAAGAGTATGAATCCTTGCTGTCATGAAAGCTTCAAATCTAGAATTAATGGAACTTATTTTTTTCATGAAAATGCATGCATTCTCTTGTATTTGTTTTGCTTCAGGTGGCAGCCACACTCAACAACTTGGCAGTGCTGTATGGCAAGCGTGGCAAGTACAAGGAGGCGGAGCCCTTGTGCAAGCGTGCGTTGGAGATTCGCGAGAAGGTAAAGGCACTGGTGCACGGGCCCACCTACTAGTCTGCCCCGTGGAATCGCTGCCATGCCTTGCGGAGTTAGCAGACGCTCTTGATAAGAGAGCATTGTAAAGGATGCCATTCACACGGTTGTGAAAATATGTAGTGTTAAGCAGATTAATGCAAAGCAGTAAGCTGAGCATTCAAGGGCAAATACTGTGTTTGTGAACTGTTATTGGTTTAAAAAATATTTTTACATATGCGGAGTACATTGGTAAATATACAAAGCTCTACTTTTAAATGTCTGTTATCCCCCTGAAGGTAAATATTTCTGATTGAGGCAAAGAGTCCCACAGTAATATAACAGATTCATGAAAAACATTTCCTGAATGGCAGTCAGCCAAAATGATGACGTCTTCGTTGTCTCAGTTACAGCACAAAAAAAATACTTGTTATTTATATCAACCTATTTACGTATAATTTTGCTGAAGCACCAACTTCATGTCATCTGTTATACGAGTTGATATCCTAGATACATTTATTAAAAACCCCAAATGGATTCCTAATGGTCAGCATAATGATGTATAATCACTGCAGCATTCGTTAAACCGGTTAATATGACTCCATTTCAGACAGTTATAAACCGATTCATTTTTGAGCTGTCAACCACACACTGGTACCCGCATATATTATTTCATAAATAAACGGTTTACATTTGAAATTGTGCCCGACATTGGCTCTGTTTGTGATGGACTTTCCGCCGTGACAGGTGTTGGGAAAAGACCATCCAGACGTTGCCAAGCAGCTAAACAACCTGGCACTGCTGTGCCAGAACCAGGGCAAGTACGAGGAGGTGGAGACCTACTACCGGCGGGCTCTCGACATCTACCTGCTGCAGCTCGGCACCGATGATCCCAACGTCGCCAAGACCAAGAACAATCTGGTCTCAAGCCGCCCACACGCTCATTAGCACTCTCCCGTGTGTGTTTTAATTGTGCCCCATGTGGTTGTTGGTTGTGCCGCGTGTTGTTGTTTGTCGCGTGTTGATGGTTGTGCCGCATTTTGGTGATTGTGACGTATGTTGTTAGTTGTGCCACGTGTTCTTGCTCCACGTACTGGGAACTTATGCAGGAGATGAATTGAGCTGCTCACTTTTTCCCTTGATTTTAGTGTTGCCCTCTAATGCTATATAATTGTAATTAATGCTACATGATTATATAGCACTAATGGTTAGTACCCGGCGCGAGCGACAGAGGGAGAGGAAGTGAACAGCTCATTTAATTTCTTGTAGAAGCTTCCAGACCTTGGAACAAAACATCGGGCATCGTGACGAACAACACACAGTATCTACCTTAAAAATGTCACTCCATATGTATTATTAGGATGATTTACCATTTTTGAACTGAGGTTGGCTAGTCGGTGGAAACCTCCCTCTTGTGTGATGATGTTGCCAGTGTCCTTTAGTGCATTGTCCATTGTTTGTGTTACCAGGCGTCGTGCTACCTGAAGCAGGGAAAGTACAAGGATGCCGAGGCCCTGTACAAAGAAATCCTCACGCGGGCACATGAGCGGGAGTTCGGCTCTGTCGATGGTAATTATGATTAACCATGCAAAAAAGATTTAACTACACATATTTGAACCATCTTATTTGACAGACAACTATTCTTGAGTTACTGTACAGTTTACTGATAGACAGCCAGTTTTGTTTTACCATGTTTAACTTTTTTCACACACTGGTTTCCTGCTATAAGTTTTACCCACCAAGCAACATAGCAGGAGGCTGTTTCTTCCTGACCTGCTTTTGTGCTTTTACCATCTACATGGCAGAGGCTCGGTCTCATTAGCAGCAGTTGCACTTTAACAACTCTGGCTCTGGCACCCCCCCCCCCTCTCAGCCAGTCTACATAACAAAGGCTCAGTCCTTTGTTATGTAGACTAGCCGTAGTCTCAAGCCGCACCTTACCATAATAATAAAAAGGGGGCCTGTCCTGGCCCATCCCCCCCCCCCTCAACCAGTATATATACGGGGTAGTATCTCTTGGAATCGCTCATTTACTTGATACAGCAAGCGTGCTGTGACGGTTCCACCTGAAGACAGAAGCTTGTGTTGCCTTAGAAACGTTGTGATTTTTATTTTATTTTACTTTTATTAATTTAAATTTTTTAACTACGTGACTTTACCGAAAAAACCTAAGAATATGAATCCTTGCAGTCATGAAAGCTTCAAATCTAGAATTAATGGTAATTCCCTCTTACCGAGTGCTTCAACATAGTAATGCCCTACAATGTTGTTTATATATCGGTAATAATACTGCTTTAAAAATGTTGTTGTTTCTGTCGTTAAAAACATCCTGAAAAGATGTATGCAGTTTTATGGCCATTCCTCGAGGTGTTAACTTTATAGATTCTGTCTTGAATATTTTTTTTACTTGGGTATTCCCAGTGTAACTGCTATGATACATCTTATTTGCTTCACCAGCCGTTTTGCGTTGACTTGTTTTTGTGGAATCATTTGTAATGCTTTTAAAGTCAACGATTGTTTTTTACTCTCTTGTAAGTCACATCACTGGTTGGTAAGATACACTGTACTTTTGCTCACGTGCTTTTGGAAGTTCCACACCGAGACCTATTAGGAGTAAAAAAAAACCACGGTATACTTCACCACACTGATCGGTGTGGCTTGGTGCAGAGGTTAAGGCAGAACCAGTTATGATATCACTTGCCACTGACGTTAGCCGTGGCCTTCAATCGTACTTGGCTTTCTCGTTCATAGTGAAGTAAGATATGCATTATGTTTTTAGTTACGCATTATATAAACGGATGATTGATGTTGATTGCTTTTTTTTACGTAATATTAAGCTTGTGTTGCAGGTGAAAACAAACCTATTTGGGTCCACGCTGAGGAACGTGAACAGAGCAAGGTGAGCTTATCCTTCATATACATAATGCAACGTTTGTAGTCGTGGCATTGTGAAGGAAGTGCGATCCTATGTCATTCACGAGTGATGTATTTCGTCGGCAGGGCAAACAGAAGGAGGCACTCCCTTGTGGGGAGTATGGTGGCTGGTACAAGTCTGGAAAGATAGACAGGTAAATCTCTAATTGCCTTTATCCGTCATGCATTAAATGTGCGCTCACGGCTGAGTTCTCAGCACATTGCCAAATGTGATGGAACGGCAGCTGAGCATTATTCAATTTAGACCTAACCTAATTGTTTTTCTTTTATTTAAAATTTTACTTTTCTCAAGGTATCACTTTTTGTGCATTCATTTAATGTCCCTCTGAATTTCTTAGAGTATAAATGAGTATGAGGAACTACTAATGAGTATGAGTAGACATTAAAAACACTGATGTAAAGTAAAACAAAAGTTTTGTTTGATGATGACTCATTGGTAACGGGTTGTTAACACAATTGCTCTTAAACGAGACTCAGGAGGACTCAAAAGTTTTTGGAAATTGCAGGCGAGATTATGGTCCGTGACATCTTTAAGTTTTCACAGCTGATCATAATCCAAATGCGGTTTTATGGGTTGGGTCTACGCGTCATCTCTTCTCTCAAGCTATCGCCACCCGCTGCTACGGGCACCTTCAGGAGTTCAATCGCTGAAGTGTGGGAAACCACACTCGGGATGTGCGACACGTGCGTGTGTGTGTGCATGTGTGTAGTGTAGCAGTTAGCGCATTGCGCGACAAAAGTGACAACCCGGGTTCGATTCCCGCACATGGCTAACACAAGTGACGATTATTTGAACCGGCCCTGGGCCTCCCCTAGGTCTCCCCTAGGTCGGCTCAGCCTGAAATGAGTACCTAGTGCGATGAAGTAACATCACTACTGGGGAGACAAAGGTAGCCAGGCATGGTGCTGGCCACCCACCCCCTCGCATGACCTGCTTGCCTTCATAGGTGCTTGCTAACGGCACTTGCCCCAACAGTCTGTAACAGGCTATATGGGGGGGGTCTTTGCCTTTGGCATGTGTCATCACGCTAACAAAACCCAACGTAACTGGTATTGGTGAACATCTCAATGCTGAAATAAATTACCATTGGGATTACACACAACAGCAACATCGCCACCCTGTTGCGAAAACTTGGCAGGACCCTCTAAAAGAGTCTGGAGAACCCAGCAAGGCCTTGTTGGGTAAAACGGTGCTCGTAATAATGTTTTGGTTGCAGCTACACAGTGACCAACACTCTGAAGAACCTCAGCGCTCTTTACCGGCGGCAGGGCAAGTTCGAAGCGGCAGAAACACTCGAGGAATGTGCCTCACGTTCCCGCAAAAAGGTAAGAGTGGGACAGCTTTTAAGGTCGCCAAACACTGTTTAAAGTGAACCAGAGGGAGATCACCTGTTAAGGGGGTATCCCATTTGTAGTGTGGTGCTTTGTGCTGTATTAGTTAAGTCTGCACAAGCAATATATAATTTACATGATGGGAGGGGTGGAAGTAATAGCATTTCGGTTAGAACATTGTTTATTGTAATGATCAATTATTGGTTTACTAATTTAAAACTTAAATTGGGTGACAAAACTCATACGAAGTGGTATATGCCACAATGCTATTTTATATTTCTTAAAAGCCAACATAGCAATGGTAATTTTAGTTAAAAAAATACAGTACAATGGCGCATGTCCGAATTACTGGGTGACTGAGGAAAAGGCAGATATGTGAATAGCTCACATATGAGTTAACTTCTGCAGAAAATTACGGTTACACCACACACAAATACTGCACTTGGGTGGAGGAAGTTAATTGACAAGGGCGGCGGCTATGTGACCGTTGGATATGCGGTGGTGCTGCATTGTCAATGGCGGTTAATAAACGTGCACAAGCTCGCTCGACCATCTGCTGGCGTGGTCCCTCTGCCGTGCAGGGTGTGCACCAGCCCAGGGTGTCGGACGTGCTCTACGACAATGAGGTGTATGAAAAGCGCCGTGGCCAGAACGGCACGAGCTCCAGTGAGTCGGGGAAGGTGGACGGAGACGCAGAGGCCAAGCGGGACCCAGGAAAAGTCCCGGAGTGCAACGGGGTATGTATGTACATGTATGTTGAATGTCTTGTTCGCAACGTACGTAGCCAACCGTGCTAATCACAGGTGCGGGGGAAGAACTAAACACGAAAATAAGTTCTTAAGAAACTAGTTTTCAATATCGATTTAAAAGTCCATAGCTCCAGTGGCTTCCTAATACCGGAAGAGCGTTCCAGACGGCCACAGAAGCGCATCTGAAAAACGCGCGATGCGGTGACAATCTTTCTTCAATTGCTTTTCAAAAAAAAAGTGCATGAACACCAATTGGGAAGCATCTATCATGCTTCGACATAGCCTGGGGCCATTGTGTATAGAGACACGAATTCAATTAAAATGTCGTGTGATAAGGTTTCTATTCGTTCAGATTGTGGCTCTGGTATATTTAGATATATTAACATGTGTAATGAAATCCTAATTAAACTCGTGGAGTTTCCCCCCCCCCCCCCCCAATAACCTTTAAGGTTCTTAGTTCCCAGACTCAACACTTCAGGCGATGCAAACTCGCAGCCATTAAAGAGCTGGGTCCATTAAAATTTAATGCGGAAATGTTAACCTGACGAAAGTATAGAGACAATAAATATACAAACTGCAATACGTTTAAAATACGTGATCGTCGTGTACAGGAGGGAGGCGGTGGGCTCAAGAGGAGTGGCTCCTTCAGCCGTCTCCGTGCCTCCATTCGGCGCAGCAGCGAGAAGCTGGTCATGAAGCTCAAGGGCAGCAGCAGCAACAAGGAAGCCGACAGCAAGAACCCTGGGTTGGACATCGCATCCACCAACTCGCCAATGTTATATATTAGTTAACTTTCAAGAATTAAGGAGTGTTCTGAAAACGTTATGAGCTGCTGAATCTCCTTGTATGTATGGGGCGCTGCGGTGGCAAGATGTTAACTACCTTGCCTGTATATACAGGCCGTGGGCTCGATCCCGACACCCGACGCCTGTATATATGGAGTTTGCATGTCTCTCTCCCCGTGGTTGTGTGGATTTTCTTCCGAGTCCTCCTGCTTTTTCCTCCACGTTTAGAAACGTGTGCGTTTTAGAGTATTTGGCTGCTATAAATTTCCACGTGATAAGCCACTTCGTTGAGCTTTCATTTGTGACCAGGTTGCTTCTGAAAAAGCTATATAGCTCAGTGGGCTTTACCTCGTTAAATAAAACAAATAGTTTTAGTTTAGTATGTATGTTGAAATTCTTCCACACCATACACAGTAGGAGGATCAACCTTCTGCAATTCATATATTCAAAGGGGGGCAATAAACTGATTTAAAGAACTACAAACCCATTAGCCTCTTAGCTTACATTCATAGTTTTTTGGAGATCAGTGGGAAAACATTTAGATCACTGTCAAGCAACCATGGAAGGCTTGTAGAAATACTTCTCAACCATTGATAGCAAATTCTATTGAACAGGTTGTGTAAAAGACTAAATGAATTTCAATCACCATTGTGCCCAGCGTTTGCTTACGTGGATTGTAAAGTCTTCCAATGAGCTAGCGTGTATTATCTTTAAATTGTTGATATGTTTTTATAAGACATGCACATAACTTCTCCTTTTCCTGGAGGCAAGGTACATTTGTACAGCCCCCTGTCAATCCCCTGCTGGTTGTATGTTTTAACTTTCTCACCGTACGTAGCCAACCGCGCTAATCGGAGGTGTGTGGTTGAAGGCCTCTGTCATGTCAGCAATCATGTGGGATATTGACCCGAACTTTACCACGCAGGTCAATGTGGATTGGCCAAAGAGGTGTGGGGCAACCCCAGGACTGATTCAGATCAGTGACCATTGTTATCCGTAGCCAGGAATAAAACTCAGGTTCTCGGGTTCATAGAACAGTTGCGTGAGCCACCGAGCCATTGCTGTACCCCCGTGTTTTAATACCATGTCCACGTGGGGTTTTTTTTATTGCAGCATGAAACGTGCCAGTTCTCTGAGCACACTCAACGTTGGTCCCAAAGCCGAGGATGACGCCTACCAAGTAAGGCCAGCCCTGTCTCTCTCTTAAGACACCCTTTTTTTGTAGCCATCTGTTCTGGACACCCTTGCCCCTTACCTAATCTTCCGTAGTCCTTCGTGACCCTAATCAGTCTTGCACATCACTTGCTTTTGTGAAGCCTTATGTCGACATTTGTCACTTGCCTAAAAATACTGTGGAGTTTAAAATAGTCTGGTTTGAGGTCGGTGTTAAGAAGTGATTCTTGTGTTGTGATCCTTGTCAACCCCCCCCCACCTCTCACCCTCTTCCTGGCGCTCTGCAGAAGTCACTGAACAAAACCCAGGGTCTGAGCGCAAGCCACTCGGACCTGGCCCGGCGAGGTTCCATTGAGAGCACCAGCTAGGAATGTCAGAGCAAACATTAATGCACACACCGACCATTCTCCTCTCTACAATAGATCCATTCACATATCTACACAGCCTTCCATGCCTGTGCCAATTTCATTTGTCCTATATGTTCTACCCATATATTGATATAATCACCCATTGCCTCTGTGTTCCGTGATTTGATGGATTGACTGCCTGTAGAACAAACTTGGAAGCACAGTTTTGTTGGTGGAATTTTGAATTCGAAGTAACGGGCAATCTACACGGTTACTTCATCAGCTTATTAGTTGGTTGCAATTTAGAGGTACAATATCAGCATTAAATGAAGGAGTAAAGTGCGTCTACAAGCCCTTTGAGCCTGATCGTTAAGATTGCTCATATTCATTGAATCGTTCATTTAAAAATGTGTCTTAATTTTTTTTTTACAATCCCTGTGTAGTGAGAAAACCCACACTCTATACTCAGGATTCAGAGAAAAGTACAAATATATTTGAGATATATCCTGATATAAATGTATATGTCTCATAAAAAGAAGTTTATGGTTGCCAATTCGCAAATGGTCACCTTTTGCAAGACGAGACAGAACCATGTTGGGCTTACTATAAATGAGCAAACAGTGGTCATGCACAATTGAGATCGCAGAACAAAAGTGTGTGATATCTGTCGGGAGTTGGACACAGCTGGAATTCGCAGCCGAGTATGTAACACCTAGGAGAGCTGTTGAAGTGGAACAGAATCAAAACGATGAAATAGAGGCAGACTTGGACGACGTGTGGAGTGCTTTCTGAAAACTGAACTTGATCATGAAAAGCAACGTACCAATGTGCCTAAAGTCGAATGTTTTATTCAGTGTGTTATTACCTGCTAAGACATGTATCAGAAACATGGACATTAACAAAGAAAATGTAACCAACTGAAAAGTGTGCACAGCATGTCGAGGTGCTTGCTTGTAATTACATTGAGAAACACACGGAATATGTATCGGTTAAAAGATAACATGCTGACTGTTACAAAAAAAAGTGGGCTTGGAAAGGACACATCGCTAGGAGGGATGATGGCCAAGAATGTTCATGGAGGGGCAGTCAAGGGATGGAAAAAGTCTTAGAGAACATCCATCGCGTAAATGGAGCAATAACATTGTCTCGTGCGCTGGGTGGATTATTACATCACAGAATTGTGAGAGAAGGCGATGACTTGGTGAGGACCTCGTCCAGCAGTGGATTGATCATGGTTATTGCTGACATTTAGCTTCGCTCCATATATAAGTGATTTGTAAACGGACCTGAAGGACTTGGCACAAAGAAGATTCATCTTTTTGTTTCGAAGGCCTTTACCGGAAACACTTGACTAACAATCCCAGCTTCTCATAAATTATCATATCTTAGTCAATTGCAATGTAATAATTACGTATAGAGGACCTACTAAGATCATATGAAAGGCAACTTGTGGTAGAATATAAAAAGTGTATTGCTGTATATTTACTAGTACTGTACTTTGTAAGGCAAGCATGCTAGAGTATGCATCATCTTTTCCCTCATTTTCTCAAAGAGAAGTGCTATGATTTTCTAGACTGTTTACAGTTTACCATTGTAAATAGAACGTACATGTTTAAATTATTGAATTTTGTAGATAGTTTAAAAAAGTCGGGAGGCATATGAATAAAGAAATACAATTTGTTTAGCTTATTACAAGTAGGGCTCTTATTATTTACATTCAAGTGGCTTTTTGCCAAAGTGAAAAATCACCGGAGGCAGGATTACATTTGCCAACCGATAGGTTTCGAGCCTTTGTCTCAACCCCAAATCCAACCCACCGAAGCTGTGTGATTGGATTGGCTTAAGTGCCTGCCAGTGGCCCAAGCTAACGGTGCTGCCCCCTGGCTGCTGTCTGTGTGGACGAGGGCACGTTGCCCCCGCCCCCTCCCCTTGTGTTTGTCCCGCGTTCTTTGTCCCGTGTTTCAACGCTGAACATCCATCCAAGTGCGTTCTAGAATGTATCCGCTTTAAGACATGCAATGCAACATTTAAAAAAAAAACCTGAAATCATTTTATCCTCAGCAGATATGAATGCGATTTCAGATTGTCCGTGGTTGAGCAATGCTTGCACTAAATATGTAAAAGGAAACCATTAGTTTCATTTATGAAGTACTTAAAAAGTCTGTATTTTGTCACCTATGACCTTAAGATTTTAGCCATTTGTTCCTTGTCTTTTGGATGCTATATAGGCGCATGTTATCTTGTGGTGCCAGCCAAGTTCTCTGTCTTGAACGTACCAGTTCCATTGTGTAAACTGATGTAGGTTTGTAGTTTTGAAAGGATTGAGAGTTATATCGCTAGAACGTGGACCAGACATTTCCTTTGGTTACATTGAAGCAGTTGAGTTTAGATGGCGATATACAATTAAACGTTTCAAAAACATGTGTCCCTGTTTTTGCAAGTTATTTCCACAAGTACTGTTATACATTTAAGTGAATAGCTTCAAGTTGGGAGCTTCTTAAGGAACTGAAGTGTACGAAGAAGCATCCAGCACATGGATCAAAACGTCAGACATGGTTAGCTGCAGATGTCCTGCCAAAAGTATAAAATAAGTTCTCAAGAAGAGTACACTGGTTACTAGTGGACTTCCAAATACGTTTTTATGTATATTTATAACACTTACACTATTCAAAGATCTCATGGGTGTGTGAAGCGAATAACATTTAAAAATTATTTCAAGAATGTTTTTATTACTGTACAAAATAATTTACAGCAGACAATGCTCTATCATGGAGGAGCAATTTATAATTCATCGCGCCGGTTAGCTACAAACCCCATGACCCGAAATAGCTTCCCGCTCACGACCAATACAAGTGACTTGTATGAACTGCTCCAGGGCCTCCCCTAGCTCGACTCGGCCTTAAATGAGTACCTGGGGTCGTCTATAAACATCGGCACTGGGGGGATGACAAAGGTGGCTGTACGTGGCATCACCCACCCTCTTAATGTGCCGAGCCGCCCTTCGTAGGCGTTACTCGCCAAACAGCACTTTCCCTAACAGTCTTCAGGCTATGCGGGAGACATTTGTTTTTGTTACATCGCAGGACCGTGAGAGATGGCGACAGCTTGGGGGAAGAGTTCTTCACCCAGCAGTGGATTTACTGCACGTTTTAAACACTTGTCATTGGCGCTGCTGGCGCAGTCCCCCGGCGCTGTGCACAAAATCCTGCTTCCAGACGAACTCTGAAACTGTACGCGTGGGGTCCGTCCCGCGGCGTGCAACTCCGTGAGCATGTGTACACCACCAAGGTGCCCCAGTCGATGCTCGTGCTCAGGCTGTCCACGTGCAGCTCGCTCAACAGCTGTGGCATCACCTGCAGGTGTGGTAGCAGCATGCACCCGATTTGGTAAACCGTACCACCAGGTGGAGCCCCACGCAGAAGAAAGAAAAACTGTCAACATTTGTGCCGTGCAGCTCTGGCGCATTTCGGTTTGTGCCTGCGTTCAGTTTCGCGTGTTGGAAGCTCCCAGGACATATACCGAACAACAAGCGGTACACCAAAATGGCAAAATCTGCTCAGAAGCGAGCACAAAGTGGTGTGTGAGATGCTGGTGCTTTCCCTCAAATGTGTGGATTTCTACCAGATGCTCCAATTTCCCCACATATACAACACTCATTAATGCAATTGAACATCCCAAAGCCGGACCCTGATAGAGTCTTGAGACTTGGTGAATAGTTACACAATAAGAGCATTATTATTGATAACCATTATAGTATTCCCTTGTTATTCGCGAGCGATACGTTCCGGAGATGCTCGTGAATAGGAACTTTCGCAGGTAATCATATTGGTCTACGAATATCGCACGGGAAACATCTACAGTCGAGAAGTTCTATCTCATCACGTAATTTAACCTCTTTAATCTCATCACTTTCGCGATGCAGTTGTGTAGAGTTCCTGATGCTATTCGTGGATAGCCAAAATCGTGGATAGCAAGTTCGTGAATAACGAGGGAATACCGTTTTTGATGAGTTGTAAAACAATTTGCTGAGAAGTCGGGCTTCGTGAGTGTCACGAGCGTTTTCTACCTGGAACTCGAAAGTGCGGGGACTTCCACAGGAGCAGGCTGGGATGTCAGAGGCTGTGGCCACGTGTTCACTTGACACCCACAGGGGCTGTCCTTCCCGGCTGTACCGCAGCACCTGTTTGCACAAATGTCAGTCAGATCTTCACATTGGACCATTAACATGCGGGTCAAAGCATCCCTGCAAGGGATGTTAAACCTTTCCCGTTCTGATGACGTAGGTGTACGTCGGGAGTTTTTCTTCCGTACACGCATGTCATCGGAATGGAACCGGTGAGTACAATCTCTTTAAAAATAACAGCGCTACGCCCCTTTTTAGATAATAGTAACGCTTAACTGCTTGCGTGTTCCAAGATTCAGCAGTGAAAGAGACCCATCCGGGAAAGGAATAATGAGGATGAAAATTAAAATAGATTGTTACGATGCACGCTTATCATGTAACTGCTTATATTGAAGCCGCGTCAACCTTAAGTCGGTGGATGTTCATTCCCCACTTCGGCCCTCATAGTTTAGAACTCCCTTCTCCCACAGTCGATCAACAGGCCGTGTGTGTTGGGGTAAAAGTGTGGGTGTGCTCCCACCCCTTCCAAGATGCATCCCAGAAACGTCTCGCTCACGTGACTTTTTTTCTTTTACTACAGGAAATGTATTTTTCTGGGGCTAGTGCCAACAGTGAATTGGTGAGAGGGGCGAGCCGACCTGCTTGGGGTCGCGAGCGATCCTCTCCTTGAAGAGGCGGAAGGCGCGGTCGTCTGCGCTTTCCCTGCGCGCCACGGCCTCCAGCTGCTGCTCGTCAAACTCGCCTGCATCACGTGCAGCAGGGATAGAACCATCATAGGTCGACGTGGAAACACCACAGCGATGTGCTTGATGTATCATGCTCAATCCTGCTTAGCTGCAGCCATCATAGATTCTACATTCACCGTGGCAAAAAACATGAGTGTTGGATGGAATCGCGATAATTCATCTGTTTGCAACGGAGGGAAATTGTTAAATGCCTACGTCATTGTGATATTGGACCTTTAAGATGGAGCCCGCATCTTGTAGATTTTTTTGTGATATCCCCACCACCTGTGGCTGTAAATATTTTTTTCACTAAACTTAAAAAGTGCAAAGGACAACCAGGTACAACCGCAGATTAAGTATGCAGCTACAAAACAATAGCTATGTTTTTGTGTGCAGTCTTCCTTCTTTTAATCAGGTGTATTAACTGGAAAGTCTCGCACAGTAAAAAAAAGACTTGCCAACGAGATTATTCAACGGGGCCAATTCAAAAGCATTTAATCGATTAAAGTCGATGAGTCTAACAAAAACCAGCAGGGACGCACTTTCCGTGGCCGCCTTCAACGCGCCTTGGCTTGCGTCCGATGTAGCTTCCTCTTCCTTCTGCTCGTCCTCCACCTCGTCGTCGTCGTCATCATCATCCTCCTCGGCCTCGGTTAAGATCTCCAACTCGGGAAAGAGGAAGCCGTGGTCGCGTTCGGGCGGCGTCTGCGGAGGCTCGGCCGCGTGGCCGCACTCGTGCTTGTGTCCGGCCTTCCAGTCCATTGCCTGGTGCCGCTTCCCGCAGTAGGCCGCTGTGTGGCACCGCGAGCAGGCCTTGGGGCCCGGGCCCCCGCACACGAGGCACAGACGATGGCTCCATGCTTCCCCTGCCTCCTCGGACTCTGCTGCTGTCACCGCCGCTGTCGTGCCCGAGGGAGGATCGTCCGGGGGCGGATCAAAGGAGTAGAATGGGTTCTTGCGAGGCAGCTGGCAGCGCACCACCCGCAGGCAGCGCGGGTCGTGCAACTCGGCGTAGCACGTGGGGTCCCGGCAGCAGAACAGCAGCAGCGAGCGGTGGAAGCAGTCGTCGCGGTTAGGAAGAGGAGCGTACACCTGTGTGGGGGGGGGGGGGGGGGGGTGGTCCCGAGATGGTGAGGGTTAGCGACGATACCTTGCCCGTAATATGGCAGTCAGACTTTCACCGGCGCTGTCAATGCAGCACCTGGTGCTGCTATCGCTTAAAATAAAGATGGATATGCACAGACCGCCCATTGGGACATCTCATGATGTGACACAGGTCACCATCATAGCATTCATATCAATGACCACCATTATAATTCCACCTCGTGACATTACACACTGACCACTATCATGACGCTTCGTGACATCACGCTGGCCACCACCACGATGTCCCGTGTCATTCATTGCACTGATCACCAAAATGGCACCGACATCACACATGGACCACCACCATGGCGACTGTCACTCACTGACCGCCTACATGGCGCATGACGTCATGCAGCGAACACCACCATGACACAATGTAGTGACCACCATGGCGCATCATGACGTAACGCCGTGACCACCACGGCACATCATGACGTCACACAGCGGCCACCACCATGGCACATCACGCCAAACTGACGACCGACATGGCGCGTGATGACGTCCCTCTGATGCGCCGTGGTGGTGGTCGCAGGACGTCACTCCGCGACCACCAACATGGCGCATCATGACGTCACTCCGCGACCACCAACATGGCGCATCTTGACGTCATTCCGCAACCACCACCATGGCGCATCATGACGTCACTCAGCGACCACCAACATGGCACATCATGACGTCACTCCCCGACCACCAACATGGCGCACCATGACGTCACTCCGCGACCACCACCATGGCGCATCATGACGTCACTCCGCGACCACCACCATGGCACATGACGTCACTCCGCGACCACCAACATGGCCCATCATGACGTCACTCCGCGACCACCAACATGGCGCATCATGACGTCACTCCCCGACCACCAACATGGCACATCATGATGTCACTCCACGACCACCACCATGGCGCATCATGACGTCACTCAGCGACCACCATCATGGCGCATCATGACGTCCCTCCGCGACCACCAATGGCACATGACGTCACTCTCCAACCACCAACATGGCGCATCATGACCTCACTCCGCGACCACCAACATGGCGCACCATGACGTCACTCCGCGACCACCAACATGGCGCATCATGACGTCACTCCGCAACCACTACCATGGCACATCATGACGTCACTCAGCAACCACCAACATGGCGCACCATGACGTCACTCCGCGACCACCAACATGGCGCATCATGACGTCACTCCGCGACCACCACCATGGCGCATCATGACGTCACTCCGCGACCACCACCATGGCACATCATGACGTCACTCAGCGACCACCACCATGGCGCATCATGACGTCACTCCGCGACCACCAACATGGCACATCACGAGTTCACGACGCAATGCAAACGAACACCACCATAGCAGGCACGCCGTGACCACCGCTATGGCGCCGCCGCACGTGTTCTGCCGCTGCCGCCGCTCACTCCCAACAGCACCCGCCCCCCCAAGCCCCCCCACAAGCCCCCCCCCCACAAGCCCCCCCCCCACAAGCCCCCCCCACAAGCCCCCCCCCCCACAAGCCCCCCCCCCCCCACAAGCCCCCCCCCCCCCCCACAAGCCCCCCCCCCCACAAGCCCCCCCCACCACGCTCATCCCCGCCCACACCTGCAGTAGGAAGGCGCACGTGTTGGCGCACCGGCCGCACGCGAGCTGCTCGGCGAGGCCCGGCAGCGGGTCGCGGCCGAGCCACGCGGGGCGGCCTCCCACTTTGCTGGGGAAGTTGGCGGCGCGGAGACGCCACGAGGAGGACGGCGGCAGCGCGGCGAAGCCGAGTTCCACGGGGGCGCCGCGGGTAGCCGACATGGCGCCAGCTGCAGTCGGGGAAGAGGAGGAGGAAGGGGTGGGGGGGAGGGGCGGGGGTGGGGGGAATCGAGGGTCCGCGGTGAAGTGTCTCGGTGTTTTAACAGATGCAGAGGATTCATTCATTCATACGCAAGTGATTCGACGCATGCACTGTATCACAAACTTAATCATCAATACCAATCGATTAATAATTACACCACTTTTTTTTTCTTCTTGGTTCTTTCGGTAAAGTCACGTAGAAGGGAAGTAATAAAATAATAAAAATAAAACAATAAAATAAAATAATTCTCACGACGTTTCGACTACAACGCAAGCAGCCGTCTTTACCTGACGGCTGCTTTCAACCCATCCGGTTTATATTCTTTGGGTATTTCGGTAAAGTCACGTAGATAGGTTCAAATTAATAAAAAAATAAAAACTACGACGTTTCAATCGAAACGTCGTAGTTTCTTATTCATTTTATTTTTATTAATTTGAACCTATCTCCGTGACTTTACCGAAATACCCAAATAATATTCATTCCCGCAGTCACAAAAGTCAAAGGCGGGGTCAAAACGTTGCAACAATACAAAATACACACGATAATAGTGCAAAGTATAACGAAGGTAAATAAACCACTTTTAAAAATATACAACATCTTTCCAGTCAAGCCCACTAATCGTCACTTCGTGTTGACTGTGAGCGGGAAAAGCGATAACCCCTCCCCATGCCAACAGCGTGCGTACGAGAATAATCAGAAGCAAGTCCACAGGTTTCTGGGTTTTTTCTCTCAAATTCTGCGCCGTTTGGAAGTTCCCCGACCACGTGCGCCGAGTGACGGAGAGGGGAGTTCCAAAGGACCGCGGTGAAGCGTCTCGGCGCTGCCATGTGTGTTCATTATATTATTAGACGATTATAAGATACTAGATTTGAAGCTTTCGTGACTGCAAAAATTCATACTCTTAGGTTTTTTTCGGTAAAGTCACGTAGGGGAAAAATAAATAAGGGAAATAAATAAATAATAGCGCATTCATTTTATTTCTATTATTTTTTTCCATTACTTTATTATTTATTATTATTTATTTTTTTCCCTATGTGACTTTACCGAAAAAACCTAAGATTATAAGACGACGATTAGGCGATTATAAGACGACGAGCCTTTTGCACGTGCAAGGAGGGGTGTATTGCAGTCAATCTGAAACTTGCACGCGAAAAGCAGACCGCCACGTGATATTCATTGCGTTAATGCGTGTGCAGTTTGTAAAGACGCGGTGATACAGACCGATTTCATTTAAATGTAATAATCCGTTGTTCATCATGAAGCACAGGTGGTGCATCAGCCAGTCATCTCAGTCAGTCGACCTGTGGCACCTGGGTCTGCCCCGTGACCTCCTGCCAGCGGGCGTTCCACACTTCACGTGGTAGCCTCAAGGTGCACATGGCCTGGCACAAGCGTTGTGGTGACGTCACCGCCACTTAGTGGCGAATTGCGGTTGTTGTTGTGTATGTGTGTGTGTCTCATGCATACCCGTCAACCCATACGGTTTTATAACCCCGTGTTCTTGTACAGGGAAATTTGAGTTTTTCAGGTCCACACGGCTTGCAGCCCTTTCAATACGGGCATTAAAAACATTAAATAATGTATTTTGTGTGTGTGTGTTTGTGTTTCTCTCCTTGTGATGGGGCTTTGCAGGATGAACGTTGAGATGTATAAGGGGCACGGGGTGACCAATAAGCTCTGGATTGGTCTGTAATAAGGTAGGGCACTGACAAAGGGGTTGACAGGTTTGCGATTATCTGTGCAACCAGATTTGTATACCTTGGACATTCAAATTCGGCACGTTGTTTTCAGACCAAACCCCCCGCGTGAATTTGTGTTGTGGCAGAATTGGTGTCACATTACATTTGAAGCCTTTGGTATCCAACCACCATCTCGTGTAGAGCCAATGTCGTCAAATCCACTGCTGGATGAGTACTGCCTCGCCAAGCCGTTTGGTTGTTTCGTGGGGTAATTCTAGATTTGAAGCTTTCCGTGACTGCAAGGATTCATACTCTAAGGTTTTTTCGGTAAAGTCACGTAGGTAAAAAATAAAAATAAATTATAAAACATAATAACAAATAAAATAAATACTAACATTTATAGAAATAATAATAGAAATAATTTTATTTCTATAATTTCTATTATAATAAATAATAGAAATAAAATAGTTATAGAAATACAATAATTGTATTCCTATTATTTCTATTATAATAAATATAATAATAGAAATAAAATACTTTTATTTCTATTATTATTTCTATTATAATAAATAATAGAAATAAAATAATTTTATTCTCCCCTATAAAATTATTTTATTTCTAGTATTATTTCTATTATTTTGATTATTTATTTTTATTTTTTACCTAGGAGTATGTTTCGTGGGGGTTTGAGCATACTTGTGAAGGACAGATAAAAATATATGAACGGGAATTTTTAAAACAAATAGGACAGTTAATGGGGTCGTGAACGGCGTTAATTGTATTAAAATATAGGCGACTTTAACCACTGAACTTGATGTGAACTCGAAGGCGATATTTGTGATTGTGCATCGCTGCCAACGCAGCAGCAGCAGCATCACCAAACTTAAAAGGTTAATTAGACAATCGATAACGGGACGGGATTAGTTCATTGCAGAGAATGGGGATCCAACTGCAAATGCGGAGTTATGTAAAATATGCAGGGCGTGTTTATGTTAATTTTTGTAGGCGTGTTTATGTTAATTAGTGTAGGCGTGGTTATGTAAAATTAGGGGGTGTGGTTATGCAGATTTGTGTTGGGCGTGGTCACGCGCCGGAGTGACCCCCCCCCACGATCCGCTCCGCTCTCAGTGAGACGCGAAGTGGCCCCATGCCGGGTCGGTCAGTCGCTCTGCGCGCTCGATCCTTGCAACGTCAGCCGGCAAATCTCTCAACTTCCCCCCCCCCCCAGCAAACTCCGCTGCTGTCAACGCAGGCGACGGACAATCCCACGGGCTAATTTTTTTGGGGGGGGGCCGTGGAAGAGGTTCCCAGCGGCGGCATGTGCGCCGTCGAGTTTGCGCGGTCAGTGTTTAACGCGACGTCGTCGGCTGTGATTCGAGTCGCGTCGTCCGGACGATCATGAAGGAGGAGTGGGGTGAAGGAAATATCTGAAGGGTTCGGCTCAGCGAGAGGAACCAAGTCTGGGCTCTGTCACCAAACCTGGCCACGATCTCCGCGTTCCAATCAGGGGCTGGCGCGTTACCGTCACTTCGACTTTTATAATTAAAAAAAAATCTTCATCAATTCATCCTCATTAATTCAGCAGCAGCAGTGCAACTTGTCGGCGTTAGTTTGAATTAACACCCGAGTGTTGACGTCAAACAACGAAGGCATCATCAGAAGGCATCATCAGAAGGCATCAATCTACCAACAACTGCAGCAGCTCCTGAAGCAGGGTCAAGGAGGTGCAGCAGTGCCATTGTTGATCAGCAGCAAGGGAAGCTTTTAGAGACATCATTGGTCTCTGGCAAAGACACCCATGCCACCTTACTCCGACTACAAGCTTCTGACCGAAACAGAAGCACCCCCCGTGCCACCACGGCGGAGTCGTGGGTTAGGCTCACGATCTGGTGGTGCTGGTGGTGGTGCTAGTGGTGGTGCTGGTGGTGCTGGTGGTGCTGGTGGTGCTGGTGGTGCTGGTGGTGCTGCTGGTGCAGTGACAGGACCAGCAGCAGGGCTTCAGCATGGTGGAGCAGGAGGTGGAGGTGGTGGTGGTGCAGGACACCAGGGCATCACGGTGGCATCAGCCTCGACAAGTCCTGGCGGAGGGGAGAGGCGAGTTAAGTGCGTCCTGGTTGGAGACGGGGCCGTCGGAAAGACCAGTCTGGTCATCAGCTACACCACGAACGGGTATCCAACCGACTACGTGCCCACCGCCTTTGACAACTTCTCCGGTAACAGCAGCAGCGTGTGCGGGTAGACACAATCACGGTCGTTTATTTAGAGTGGAGGAATCCGATGAGCCGTGAAGCGCTTCTATTTTTTTCGCAGATGTGCCGGGCCGAGCTGGAGCCCGCTATACAGCGGTGGTTGTTTTTTGCTATTGTGGTGCAAGAATGGAAAATTCAGCAGACAATGATAACTGCTATAATTGTAGTTGTTATTCACCCCATGGGAATGTTTGGGTGGGTCCGAGTCGAGAGTTGGCGTCATGGCATGTTTTTTTTCCCCGTAACGAATAATCGGGTGTAAAATTTATTCGCTGTAAAAATTACCGTACGGTGTTCCAATTTTCGCCGGTGTTTTTTGTTTTTTTGCCAAGAATTGGCAAGGAGAAAGGGTGGCTTCCGCCAACATTTGCATCAGATCAGTGCTCTTTCTGTTTGTGTGTTTGTACGTCAACATGTGCGTGCCCCAAACCCAGGGAAAAAAATCAAGGTCTCCCGGACAGGGTAAATAAAAACGTGCCAAAAATGGTTGGATCACACTTTTTAGAAAATGTGTTATTTTTTCTTTAAAGTGTGCTTGCCAATGTTACTGTATTTCAGTGACATATGACCCACATTTTAGTGACATGTGTTGGAAGAGAGAGGATGCCTTCGTTACTCACCCTGTGAGTAAGTGTCATCTCGTGAGTAATTGTCACTCGCCCACTCCCCGCTGACCATTCCAGTCATGCAAGTTGGTGAGATCCTGAGTGGGTACCCTTTTACGGACCATCTACCATCTCCCGTGGGATGGTGATGGCCATCAGTCGCAGAAAACGCCTCGGTGATTTATTAGAGTGTCTGGGGAACTAGAGTGGTGTTGATGCCTCTCTGCTCTGGTTACTGCGTTGGTGGTTGTGCTGTACGACTCTCCAATGTCTCTTCGGTTTGTACTGCGTGCCATTCGACGTGTTCAATGTTTCCCACCGCGCGCCGAAGAATCTCCCATCATCGTGGAGCGAAACGTCGGACATCGTGCCGAACGACCCGCGCGCGACACAACCCAGAAACGCATCACTGAGCTGACCTCTGAGGTTTTTTTTAACTGTCGTGTGTTGTCGCCCGAAAAGCTGGGCAGCTACCGTAGCATATCGATGTCCGCCGGTGTGATGGGTGTTTTTTGCGATGCCTCATATCAGATGTGCAGCAACAAGGGTCAGCATTTGGTTTCCAAACTTGTGACCCTTGTACTCGAGATGGCGGGGCGGAGGGGATGGAAAGCAGTCCCACTGAGCTGACCTGCCAACGGGTCATAACTCCCATTGGCGATCGCGACGAGTGTTGAATTCAAAGTTTGACACACGAGCCGCTGTCCTGTTATTATTGGCTTGCGAGCAACTTGCCGTCTGTCTAAACTGGCACGACCTCGTGCGTTCAGTCAACCCCCCCCCCCCACCAGAGACTGGGAGAGGGAGGGGGCCAAAGAGAAAAGAACAACTTTGGAAGACATTGGGTCATAATTCTCATCCTCCAGATACAAAGTACATTGGCTCGATTGTCTCTCTGCTGTATAAGTATTTTTTGTGCCTGCGCTATTTCCACGTATCAAGTTGCACTCTGTTTTTTCCATTTGGTTCACTTGGTAATTTTTCTCCGTCCTGATACCCTTGGCCAGGGCATTCTCCCCTATTGCTCAGTCATGAACAGTTAAGCACATGACGCAGGGAACCATGCCGACGCATCGTGGTTTGCTGCTAATAAGGCAATGAATGGGTGATTGTAGTGTGGCAGTTTCCAGTTCTTGCTTGCTGAGTCTCCACGCTTGATTGGATTACAGTAATACACCAAACTGGTCACACGGCGCATTCACTCACAGGGTATTCGATGGCGACCTGATTACGGCTCTCCTACAGCGCTGTCGCAAATTCAATAGATTTCTAACTTGATGTATAGCTGACTTTTAACTCTGGGTTAAGCAGTGGCGTTTATAGAAGCAGAATTGTGGTGGGGGGGGCGGTAGGGTTTAGGTGAGAGGGCAGAACGATGTATTATATGGTACACTATTACGTGGAACCGAAAGAAAATTGTGTGATATTGCCATTCACTTTTATTGGCTACACGTGGTGTTGGGAATTTGCCAAAAACACATGGCACATCACTTAGCTCAGCACCCCTGGGTTATAACAATTTCCATCGCTTGACTTTTTTCTTTTTCAAAAGCAGTCTTAATGTAATGGAAGTGGGAGAAAATTAACACGTGAATCATGCCAAGTCTCATGCAAATGTAACGCAAGGACGTTCCATCCGCAGGTGGGAGGAAAAGCAGCGGTTGGGTTTACGTGTGCGTTGGTGGTTTGGTTGGAAAAATCCATTGTGGAAGCATTGCGTATCGTGATTTCCACAACTCGCCGACCGCACACACTTGTAACATTAAATATTTGTTTTGTATTTTACCAGGTAAGGCCCACTGAGCTATGTAGCTCTTTTTCAGAAGCGACCTGGCTATCATAAATCCAAATTCCAAATATACAGCAGCAGGCATCGGAGTCGGGATCGAACCCACGACTTCCTGTATACCAGGCGAGGGAGATAATACCTCGCCACCGTGACACCCGAAAACATAAACACATACTGGTGTAATGGTAACGGCACAAGGAGCCATGGAGAAGTCAGGGCCATACCGTGTGCGTGCGGCCTGTTGATTATATTACAAATAAGTGTCAGTGCCACGCGAGTTCACGGAAAGTGGCCCATGCCCTCCCGACGGCACTTGCGTGACTTCATCTCTCCCCGTGCGCGAGTGAGTGACGCGTGACAGAGTCGGCTCCTTCACGCGCGTCGGTGTCAAGAAGGGGTCGTCCCGGGAGCCGTGTCGTGCCGCCCTTGCCACGATCCGTTCGGGTGACTTAAATTTCGGTGTTTGTGTTCCTGCCTCTGCCCCCACTTGCCCGTGCAGCTGTCGTAGCCGTGGACGGGAAGCCGGTGAGACTTCAGCTGTGCGACACTGCAGGCCAGGTGAGCGGTGGGATACTTTGCCCGTGCCTTGCCTCATCTTGGCAACAAACGTTTACAATTAAACGGCACATATCACGGGGCCTTTTTTTGTTGTTGCCAGTATCAAAGTACAGTAGAACCACTCTTATTAGGTTTTTTCGGTAAAGTCACGTAGGTAAATAAATACGTAATAAAAATAAAAAATAAATCTATAAATAACATTTTTATTTCTATTATTGTTTCTATTATTTTTTTAATAAGTAAATAAAAATTGCAAAAAAAATAGAAATAAAATGTTTTTATTTCTATTATGTTTTCTATTATTGTTTATTATAAAATTCTCATTATTTATTTATTTTCCTACGTGAATTTACCGAAAAAACCTAAGAGTATTAATTCTTGCAGTCACGGAAGCTTCAAATCTAGAATCACTCTTAATAGGTTTTACCCTTTCTGGGAATAACACAGTAGGTGTTAAGATGTCCACACACCAAATACAAACCTTTTGCAAGGCATCAAGTCTGCATTAACCACACGTACTTGTAGTGAACATGCAAACAAACATGGCCTGATAATATATGACACTGTCTTTAAAACTGATTGGCTTACACCAGAGACAGCTTTCATCGAGGCCTTGCCTCACCAGTGTCAGACCAGAGAATGCCAAAATACAAACGGTGCAAAGGCATTGCACGTATCAAAGCAATTATAGCTTGGGTTGAGCAGCTATATCATGGGACCTTTGATAATTATAATAAGAATAAGAATCGGGGCTTAATTTCCACCTAGTTTTCCCGCGGTCAGCTACCAGGCACATATGTTTGTGGTATCTCGGTGGCTCAGCAGTATCCGTGGAGGCCACTTATCTACAACACAAGGGAAACAAACCATTTGTCTGACACACACACTGCTGATGATTCCGGAGAAGTCAAAACCAGTCCAGAGCATTGAATGACAGACTAACATGGATTTTTTAAAATGTATATATACACGTATATTTATTACATACTTAAAAACAGCACGTAAATTTTTCCTTTAAATAACTATTTACCACGCCTATTGGAGTGAAGTGTCGCACGACGTGCATTGTGCTCCACGGTGTTTGTGGATGTTTCTTCAACGGAATACGAAGAACAGCAGCGCCGTTGATCAAACACACACCACAGGCTGCCCGAGCAAGGAGCGGCCACACTTCAGGAAAGTTGCGGGTCTCCTCCGAGCGAATTGATTCCTGGTGGTTCATTTGTTAGGTGATGAATAGAATCCCAGAAGTTAATTTCCCACTTCCTCACCGATAAGGAGGCGTTCCACTGTGAAGCACGATAATTGTATTAAAGCCTGCGCAACTGGCGGCTAACAACTCTGTACTGAGCCTGCTGTTTGTTCGTTACAGAATATTTCAGGGGTCGGCAAGCGTAATAACAAGAAGAGCCGTTCTTTTTTCCAAATTCGGTCAAAAAAACTCAACATTGCAAGAGCAGCAATGCAATGTGAATATTGTAAATGTCTGTCATTAGTGCAACAAACAGCATTTATGTCACCTTACTGAAGGGAGCAAACGTAGAATTAAAAAAAACTCAATAACCATTGTCCAGCGTGGTGTGGGTATCTCTTCGCTATATTTAAACGCCACGGCGGGGGGGGGTGCGGGTTATTTGGTGGGGGGAGGCTGTCGGCCAGCTGCGACGAGCCTGACCTTGTGACCTCGTGTCGTGGCGCCCGTGGACAGGACGAGTTCGACCGCTTGAGGCCGCTCTGCTACCCGCACACGGACGTCTTCCTCCTCTGCTTCAGCGTCGTCTGCCCGGCGTCCTTTGCCAACGCGGCCGAGGTGTGGGTGCCTGAGATCCGGCGGCACGCGCCTCGTGCCCCCATCCTGCTCGTGGGGACCCAGTGCGACCTCCGTGACCGCGTTCAGGTTGGCAACCACATGAGGGGGTTGGGGGGCGGAGAGAGGGAGGTCGCTTCTTTTCTTATGCTGCTCCCACGGCCAAAAGTCTGGAATAGCATCTGTAGTATTTTTTTAGACTCTCATTATAGAAGGCGTGCTGCAGTGGCGCCGTGCTTATCACACTGGACTTGCAATGCAGAGGTCACCAGTTCAAGCCGCCGGCGTAGTTTGTTGAAAGGATGGTACAAGTTTCTTAAATCCTCCCACCTCTGTCCGCCCAGCAGTATAAATGGGTACAGCACAGTTAGTGGATCGGCAAGCCACTTGTGCTGGTGTAAAGTGTGGGTGTCCTCACCTCTTCGAAGATGTCTGGCCAACCTTAAGTAGGCCAAAATATCCAATAGAGCAAGGCCCACGGGCCACTGGCGGCCCCTGGTGGTCTTTAGTGCGGCCCCTGACGTGCGGCCCCTGGCAGTACACAACAACACGTGACAACAACCCCCTTGCAGGCGGGGTGTGGTGACCCCTCACACTGCTGATGTCTTATCAGTGAAAGTGGCCCCCCTCTGAAAAGGAGTGAAGCACACTGCTGTAGAGGCACCTCTAATGGAAGCTCTTCCACCAGCAGTAACATGAGCAAGCAATTTGCCCGGCTGCACCTTTACCACTATTTAAAGCTTTAATACAACTCCCACGTTCCTTTATGTAATTGATCTGATAAGCTTACATTTTCGCGTGCTGTGTATTTTTATTTGTGTTCGCCGTGTTATTCTTTCCTGCGGTGGGGAATTGAGCGGCGATGTTTACGTGTGGCTGCCTCGACCGGCGAGCCGCTGGACGGCTTCAAGAGCCGTTCTGGTGAATGTCCGAACTTCGAGCAGCGAGCGATTGAAGCAGACAGCGCTGCAGTTGTAGTTTATTATTCCGAAACCCAGCCTCACAATGCGGAGCTGCCCCGACTCCGCAGACCGTGGGGGCTGTCTTTATACGCCATGGCTACTGCACTGAAAGACAAACCCGGTGACATGAGTTTCATTCCTAGCCGTGGCTAACATCGGTGGCAGAGTGATATCTGAACCGGTCCTGGATCTCCATTTCACCAGCACTCATTGGACGTTGTGATGAAGTGTGGATGGTCAGACAACCGTTAATGTGGGAAGGCCTTCATCCAGGAGTGGATTGACAAAGGGCTGTATAGTAGTAATCGTACTTAAATATAAATATCGTGCTTATATATATGCATTGCCGGACTTTACATTACATACTGTATTCAATAATACAGTACTGCCGAAAGTAGTAATAATAATAAAGACATTAAACAACATAATAGCACAAATATATGTATAAGTCGTTACCATAAAAGTCAACTGCAAACTACTTCACGAGAAGAAAAAAACCATTCCAGTGAACGGCGCTCCCATCGAATAATTTGACCCGTTTTTTTTTTGCTCAGAGCTGGGTAAATAATTGACTTCCAACGCACATTACCGAAAGAGCTTTGCAAAGAAAAACAATCCGCCTGTAATAGGCAACTTGGTTGGGGGTGGCACCTCACTGCTGCCCAACACAATTCCTTTCTTACCGTAGCGGAGAAAAACGCAGCCGGCCCAGCGAGTAGCGCGTTGCAACAGGTTTGTGGTTCGATCACAGCAGCCACCCTGGTTAATACTGAGGGTTGAAATATCCGTAAAAAAGCTATGCACTGTGGGCTTCGCAGCGAAAGTATATTTATGTATGTTGAACGTCTTTCGCCACCATACGTAACCAAGCATGGTAGTCAGAGGTGCGTTAAACAACCCACTGCCGTTATCCGAAGAAAGAGTAGGCCACATTACTTAATCGGGAAGCCGCATAACAACATCGCCCCTCTACTGGCAGACTCATACCCAGCCTGCGTTCACCTTGTGCATCGCACGGTCCCCCTGCCGCGTGGCGCCACGGTGTACTGCCACGGGAGGCGAGGCTACGACGGTGACGGTGACGAACCCCCCGCTCCTGAGCTCACTTTGCTTTCAACCGTTCCAGGTGCTCATCGGGCTGGCGAAACGCGGCGAGAGACCCGTGACGGAAGCGGAGGCGCGGCGCCTGGCGGAGCAGACGGGCGCGCGGGCCTACCTGGAGTGCTCGGCGCTCACGCAGAAGAATCTGAAGGAGGTGTTCGACGCCGCGATCCTCTCCGCGCTGGGACGCGCGCCCGACGCCGGCGGCAGGTGGCCCAGGCTGCAGTGGCGCGGAGACCCGGGGAGCGACGGCCGCCGCAAGAGAGCGAGGACGCTGGCGCCCGCTTGCCTGCGCAGCCTGTCCAAGGCTTGGTGGAAGAAGTACTCCTGCTTCGGATGACGACGATGATGATGATGGAGGGCCGGGTGCTGCTGCTGCAGCGGCGTCGCGAAGGATTCGGAGGAAAGTTCGAGCGCAAAACAAAGGAAAGAAACTCTCATCGAAATGCCTTTTCGCCTCTTTTTTTACAACACGTTCTTATTGCACAAGAATTGAATTCGGTCTAAGGTGACGTGATGGTGAGGCGACGCGCGTTTAATTTAAGTGTTCCGGTTTTATAATTGCGTTGAAGCGAGCGCTAAAACGTATGGAAGGGTATTGTACAAAAAAATGTTAAGTTGCTGTTTTAGTGTTGAGAGGTTTTTCTCGGCTTTACCTGTCAAGGGTCATCACTGGTTGGTGGCCAAACGGGGAGGTTAAAGAAGTGATCTTCTTTCCACAGTATAAAAAGCCTTATGAAGACAATGAATATATGTGTATATACAGTATATTGTATATGGACTGTCGGTGTTCGATCACCTGACTTGTACTGACTTCACTAACTGACTCGACGAGAGAGAACAGACTTGGGTGTATCTGTAACTCTCTTCATTAAGCTCGTTTAACTTTAGCAAATGGGAAACTAAACGTACAACTTCCACGAAATACTTAATCCCGACCCGTTGTTTTGTTTCTGTTTAAACTGCAATATTACCTGAAATAATATTCAAAACACCGCTTGCTTTTTCAGGCGAAACATATTTAACTTTAATTTGTCGCTAACACACGGGCGCGCGTGATGCGCGTGTATTTGAAAATGCTTTATCAGTAGTTTACACGCGATAGCGAGACTCGCGTGAAGAAAGCTAATGCAAGTCGACTACAATAACGACCTGTGTCTTGTGCTAAGACACGCACCTATGTTATCATTATGCCTCATTGTACCTGCCACTTACTCCTACAGTGTTACGACTTTCTGTACGTCCTTGCGCATGTGCCTGTTTTTTATGATTTCCCCCCTCCCGTTGCTGATTTCTGGATGTGGGAACAAACCTTTCGACGGACTGTGAAATCTCTGCACTTTCATTTCTCGGGGGGGTGGGGGGTATGGAGGAGGAGGCGTTCATCCCCTTTTCGCTAATTTAGCTTTTGATTTTGACGTCGCCTCCAAGTTGCCGCTTCTTTTAATGAAGCCGGACACGAAACAGTAACACTGCACCGTGCACGCGCACACACTACACCGTGCACACACACACTGCACCGTGCACACACACACTACACCGTGCACGCACACACACACACATTACACCGTGCACACACACACACACTGCACCGTGCACACACAAACACTACACCGTGCACACACACACACTGCACCGTGCACACACACTACACCACACACACACTGCACCGTGCACACACACACTACACCGTGCACACACACTACACCATGCACACACACTGAACCGTGCACACACACTGCACCGTGCACATACACACACTACACCGTGCACACACACACTGCACCGTGCACACACACACATTGATCCACTCTTCACCCACGTGCCCCCTGACCCTGCCGTGTGCATGGTTCTATCAACCTGCGTCATTTCAGGGTGTGGGCGGGGGCGGATTTTAACATATTGCTCATTATTGCCGATGTGCATACGTATGTTGATTACCATTGAATACATCTGTAAAAGAATTTAACTTTATTAAAAACTTCCAAATGAAATGCTGCTCCCTTTCGTGTTTTAAAATTGTCACGAACCGAAACAAAAACGGGCGCTTTCATTCAACCGGGAGCGAGTTTGGCTGCCGCCTGATGATGCCGGTTGTAATTACTGGCGAAACGTCGTACTCGGATCGTAAAATGTCGTGGATTTGCTCGCCAACATACCGGGTGTGGTGTACTGGTAATGAATTGGCACGTTCTGTTTACGTGACAAACCTTACTCATTGGCTGTGTCGGGTGGTGGCGGGCGTAACGACGCAAACCAACCCAAAAGTAAAAGTCTGTAAAATGGATATTGGTCGCGAAAGCCTCCCAGTTAAGCAGAGAGAGTGAAAGAAATAAAGTCGCTGCTAAATTCCAAGTTCACGGAGAGGCATGTTAATTTCTCTTCCTCGTCGTTCCACGGGCCTCTTGTTATTTGTTCGCCAGATGCCCCTTCGCCTCCCCCACCACCCCCTGTCTCCACTGTAGCAATGGAAGTCGCTGAAGTTTTCTCGCATCTCCCAGATATTTCCATTGTGACTCAATTTTTCACGCCTGTCGCATCGCGTACTTTACCGTCTGGAATTGGCGGTGGGGGAATGGGGCAATGAGTTGTGGCAGAGTTTGTGTGTTCGCTGTGTGCGTGTGTGTTCGCTGTGTGTGTGTGCACGCTGTGTGTGTGTTCGCTGTGTGTGTGTGTGTACGCTGTGTGTGTGTGTGTTCGCTGTGTGTGTGTGTGTTCGCTGTGTGTGTGTGTGTGTGTACGCTGTGTGTGTGTGTTCGCTTTGTGTGTGTGTACGCTGTGTGTGTGTGTTCGCTTTGTGTGTGTGTACGCTGTGTGTGTGTTCGCTGTGTGTGTGTGTACGCTGTGTGTGTGTGTGTGTTTGCTGTGTGTGTGTGTGTTCGCTGTGTGTGTGTGTGTTCGCTGTGTGTGTGTGTGTTCGCTGTGTGTGTGTGTTCGCTGTGTGTGTGTGTACGCTGTGTGTGTGTGTACGCTGTGTGTGTGTGTTCGCTGTGTGTGTGTGTGTTTGCTGTGTGTGTGTGTTCGCTGTGTGTGTGTACGCTGTGTGTGTGTGTTCGCTGCACACACCCTGCCGATATGGCCACAGTGCGTCCGTTTGCGACTTTTAACACAATGCATCATCATTTCGTTCGGGTCGGGTGCTCCCGCAAGTGCAAGCCGTCTTAAAGGAAATGAAATCGCTCTGGTTTATGCCACACTCGAGGGCTCTTTCTCTCTCTCTCTCAGTCTGGAGGTTTCGTATTGCTGAGATGTTTTTTTGTGAGTGTGTGGAGAAAGGCAGAGGGAGGTTTTTTTTGCCTCGGGAGCTTTCATTTCCACAAGCTTTTTTTTCACTTAAGCGGCCTGAACTTTATGACCCATGATGATGTCATGGGAATAGAATTCGGATAAATGCTGATTGATTCACAGGGGGTCCTTTCCTCAGCTGCTGCTCATTCAGTGGCTAATGCATGGGTGTCCTTTTGAGTTGCCTGCTTGCTCAGTACTTATTTTCCATATTTCTTGTGTAGATTTTTTGCTTTCTTTAAAATGATATTCCAAGTATTGGGCACCAATTCTTAGTCTGGCAGAAGCTTTCCGTACAGTAGTTACGGTATGTGGCCCTGATTCAAACCAATTAAAATCTAGTTTTGAGTAAACAGCCCCGCTGCAAGTTCAGCTTCTTGCAGGTGTGACAAATTGGATGAATGATTTTGGGATATTGTAATCCATTGGCGGTGCAGCGCTTGGGATTGGCTCATTTGCTGCACGTTTGTGTCTGCTGGCTCATTCTGTCGGCTCAGCAGGAAGCTGCCACTAGAAAAAAACCACCCTAGTGCTGGCTTCTTGACTCAACGCTCACACACACACACGCACTACACAAACAGCACAACGTCCCTTACAAGATGCGCAGCAGCGTGCAGCAAGCACTCCTCCACAGATTACCACGCCCGTGGGCCCAACAGCAGCGGCAACAGCGGAGAGCAGGAACCAGGGCCAGGTTAATGATCTCCCTCTGCGGGTTGCTGCCTGCCTGCTTTGTTCCGAAGGATGAGCGGGCTGGGCGGAGGAGTATGGAAAGGAGGTGGGTGGGTGTTGTTTTGGAAGGAAAAGTGGAACAGTTACAGAGCTTCTTTACCGCCAGCTGCATTTGGCCGATACTCAACACAAATCACTCCCAAGCTCATTTTTTTTTCCTCTCCCTCTTTCTCCCCAAAATAAAAAAAAATCCCCACTCTCCTTATCTCTCCTCTGTTCTTTTTCGTGCAATTTCCATTCTCTCAACTTTCTGTTTGAACTGTGCTTCCCATTCTCTCTCAGTTCTAATCTGTTTGACAGGGGGCAGGAGGAGGGATGGGTGGCGGACAGAGTTAGCGGTGGCGTTGTTGTTATCAGTTATCGCGCTTGATCGTGCCGTGTTGCTCAAACAAAATAACTTTGCGCGAGATCTTTCAGAGTCATTCTCCCTCTCTCTCTCTCTCTCATCCTGCCTCTGTTTCGGAGATCAAGGCGTTTTAGCCGGAGATCAGTGGCAGAAGATTGCCGTTCCTCTATAGTTCGTTAGTGCACGCGAACACACACACACGCACACACGCACACAACAAAAACACAGTGGCCCCTATTGTGCTCTGCGGTACGGGTTTCGTTGGGAAAATGCTTACCTCACAGTGAATCCAGCAGCTATTAACATCTAAAAACCCAGGGAGGGGGGGGCTGGCTTTCTGAAAATAAGGGGGGCTCAGAAGTCTTAATGAAGCTGTTGAAAAGGCTAAAAGGGAAGCGATCCGTTTCTGTTGTGTATTCGTGCGGTGTCTGTGCCCAATGCTCTTGGTGATTCACAAATACTGTACTGTCATGACTGAAGTGCTCTACTGTGATGAGGGGGGACCCAAACATGGGAAGATCCGAAACCTAACGTAATCGCCCTCTGAAGCTAAAAATAAGCACAGTCCATCTGAATCATCCACTGTGCAGGCTGGCTGTGTAGAAAAACACACACGCGCGCACGGGTTGTTTATGATACGTTGCTAATGAGTTTACTGATAATCATTCAAACTTCCCCTTCCAGCAGCCGTTACTTTTGTTGTTTTTCCTGTGTGGTCCAACTTCTCAAACAGAACTAACTGTGGGCTCTTTCACTTTGACCAGACTTGTGTACAATGTGGCAAACTTTACATTCAACGTTCTCACTTTTTTTTAGGAAAAGGATGGGGGAATGTGTTTATTTTATTTTAAAACGATCGTGAGCCATGTGCGTTGACCGTGAGAATACATCCGTGTCAATCAGTGCCCTACCTTATTACAGACCAATTCAGACATTATTGGTCACCCCGTGCCCCTTTATAAATCTCAAAGTTCATCCTACAAAGTCCCATCACAAGAGAGAAACACAAAGAAATAGACACAAAACAATATTTTTTTACTCAATTTCCCTGTGCAAGAATACGGGTTGACCGTATGGGTTGACTAACCTCATATCTGCATTTGTCATCAATTTGCTAAATTCCCTCTGTTGATATGTAAACTCCTTTGTCAAGGCACTCTCCTCCTCCCATCCAGCTTAAAATACGCTGCCAAGCTTAGCAGTGTTCATTAAGACGCTGTCTTTGCGACAGCTCTTTTTCCGACAGCTCTGTTTCTTCACCTGAGGACGGCTGCTTGCGTTGTGGCCGAAACGTTGTGAGAATTTTATTATATAATGTTTTTTTTTCCCTTCTACGTGACTTTACCGAAAGAACCAAGAATATAGTATGAAAATGTGTTAATTTCGCTCACGGCCAAGACTTTGTTGTGACTTTGAGCGAGCGTGAAATTCCATCAGTCTGCAATGTATAGCGTGCTCGCGTGTACACAAATCCCGTTGGCGCAGATTCGTTTTTGTTTGTTTATAACGGCGAGGAGCAGCTGACCGATCTCGTGCTAGTTGAGTCATCTGCAAGTGCTTCTGCGAACCTCCAGCCTCGCTCCCAGCCCCATGCCGTATGTGCCCTGTTCTACTCAGCCAGGTCAGCGGTAGAGCGAGCAAGTGTCCTGCAGACACGTAGAGAGGTTGTGAGTTCAAATCCCGTTTGGGGGTTGTTGACTCAGCCCATCATCTTTAGGGGGGTCGATAAAATATAGACTAGATTGTGCAGGGAAGTCAACTGGTTGTCCCTCGGACTCAATGCTCACTTTGAGCAGGTTGTCACTTCGAATTCGTTTTACATTACTCAACTTTGCGTCACATTACTCAACTTTTCGTCATTAACCGCTCACGACTATGAGCGTATGTCTGTTACTTTTGATTTTACCATCTTCAATGCGTTCGTCATTCCCATGACAACGGGAGAGGCAAAATAGCACAACGATGAGCAATGCGCCCAAAAAAATCCACGAAACAAATTCCCTTCATAAAATTCTAATTAGTTTTTTATAAAAGGCGTGCCCTGACTTGGGGGACAACCTGAAACGTTCCATGCTTTGTCTGTGAGCTTTTCTGTCTCAGACACTTTATGACAGATGGCCGAATTTGAATTTTTTTTGTTCGTCAAAATCATACTTGTACTTATTTTTCTGAAAGACATTAATTTTCATCGTCGCCATCATCATCATCAAACTATTATTGATGTGTTTTGAAAAAATGACGTGCCAATCATTCCACTTTCAACTCAGGAAACCATAACTAGCATGAGACAAAAGGCACCACCACCAAAGTTTGTTGATGCATCGTTACGTGAGTCTGCAAATGCCCCTAATGTATCATGAAACGCATCATTTATCACCATCATCTTTGCTTAAAACGACAAATGCCACACGTATCTATTATTCCAGGAAAATCCCCACGCTGAGCGCGTGTCTATTTTTGAGCACATTGTAAGTTGTCGTTGGTCCATTCTCAATAGAAATGTACAATAATAATCATCATACGGCCGGTGGACATATTAACTCATCCCCCTTCTCTCAGCACCAGTGAGTCAATGAATTACTGTCATTCAGGGTCACAATTTCGATTCGATAATCAATACTTTTTTTTCGGTAACACTTCAGCGGCTGCAGGTTTCACCCTATGACGATGAGACGATGATGAAAACATCAACTATGGATTGAACGAGTGATTCAATGCGTGTATCGTGAGTTTAAGATTCAATCGATGTCGCGACTGACGAACAGATGCGGAGTATCTGCCACGAGCAAACAGAACGCTGCAGGACGTCATCTCTCTATGCATCGAATAACAGTGCCATTAAAATGCTTCATTTAAAATCAGGTGATAAAACCCTTGGGCCACATTGAGCGCAGGAGATTCAACAGAGGGGATTGCCGCACTATCCACCGTTGTGCTGTACTTTGCCCGCGCATCTATGTACCCTGCATTTAGCAAGCAGGCTGTGGTGAAGTATGGTCTAGCAACCCCCGGTGTGGGGAGGCCTCCATCTCGCAGTGCAATGACAAAAGGGGCTGTACGCACGCGCACGCACGTGGAGTTCCGTTGATACACTGCCCGTCTGCCACTTGCATGTGAGAGCTGGCAAGACAACCCCTGTAATGCGCGGGTGGAATACTAATGAGAAGAGGTGCGA